GTAAGTAAGACTTACTTATTGTGTATCCTTAGAATAGTCAACTTATACTTACTGGTCTCTACCCTTATAACAGTCGCGTACTTAACGTATCGTTGTAACTAAGTGTTACATAACGTGGTTGGAGTGAATTGTGATTTACGTTAATTCAGTGTGTGTTACATCGTAATTGCTGAGTTCATAATAAAGATTAATTAAAACAAAATTAATAGTTGTGTTACGACTCGGCTATTTTATTTCATCAAGCAACCCTTAAGTTTACGTGACAATAGAAAGTTGCTAGTGCGAAGTGTCATAAGTGAGTAAAAGCTAACTTTCCCGTGTCAGCCGTAGTAGACAACAATCTTTAGAAAGCGATTTAGAAAAACGATATTTGTTCGGTCTGAAGGACCTTAGCTAGCAAATTCCTGAGATTTACGATGGGCCCTTGAGACTATTGAGTTTTTTTTTTTATTCAGTTGTTTACATTCACAATTTGTCCGATTTGGACATTTGGTAGAATTTTTTGGCTGTTTGATTATCATGTAGGTGGCTAACTATCGAGTGTACGCAGTAAGGATGAGCGGACATCCGGTTCCCTTCTTGCCCACGATGTGTGGCCTGATCTAGGTACAATGTCGCCCGACGTAACAATGTCTTTATATCTGCGAGCGTTTGCGTTTTACGCGAATTCTGTGCGTTCTCGTATCTGTAAATCTCCTATGAACGTACGAGCGTCCACGCGTGTTAACTAGGTTTTCTACGTTGCAAACTTTCTCAGTTATGAAAATTTCCTGTTAAACGATTGAACGCGTAAAATTCGTTTTCGGATTTACCGACGTAATCAGTGGCGATTAACAGACAGTATTCATTACTGCGCGTAATAATTCACGTGTTCTCGTTCGCGTCCCATAATGTGCAATGTTATGAATAAATTGGCGAACGTATTAATCGCAGAAAGAAATCGAAATAGGTTGTACAATTGAATCCCGTGAAAGTTAAATGGAATCGATATTACTCTAACAGGATTACGGTATAATCTGCGAAATTGGCTTGCCATTCGCCCGTTAAAACTAATTAAATTTGCGTAAGAACGATTCGCGATAGGATGTCATTAAAAAAGAGAAAAAAAAAGTATAAAGAGATATTTGGAAGATCAACAAGTAAACCTTAACAAACAACTGGGACAGAAGAATTTTCAAACGGCAATGGCAGGAAACGTGGAATTAATAGCAAACTGATGGCCAGTAATGGCGTATCTGATCAAAGGGTTCTAAATGTACAGCGTGTCTGTGTATTAAATGAACGAATTTGATTTATATAATGATATACAATTAAATACGAAACGCGCACTGTATTGACGCACTGGATTCTCATGTACAGCATCGTATTAATTTAAAGTGAACAGCTTCTATTAATATCGAAATATTGCTTAATTTTCAATATCGTGTAATGAAAATTGTGATAGCATAATTTTTCCTATTCCTGGTCCTGCTTCCACTTTTTACCATTTACTCTATGCTACGTAATCGTTGCGTAAATTCGCCTTCTTCACAGAAATTCTGCTCTAAAATTCTTAATAGACAGCAGAAAATTGTACGACGTTCGTATTGCTGAAGAGTAAAATAATACGAGTTACTACACAGATAGAACACAAAATAATCGAATGCATATGGAAGATTATCTCTACCAGATATTAGATCAAGATTCAGTATCCCTATAAATATAGTAAGAAACGATATATTGATCGATTTGTTTCTGTAATACGTCGTATAGGGCGCATGTATAAGCCATTAAAGCCTGAGTTAGTAAAATTATTAGTAAACAAGCTTCGTGGACACGCGCTCCTCGCCGTAGAGGACAGTCGAATAAACGATTTAAACGATTTCGGAAATAAATTAATTTTCTTCCAAGTTTCTTCTCTTTCAACAACATTCTTCTCATTTATCTAAAACGGCACGTACATAAAGCGCTTAACAGCTCAAACGTTAAATTCATTTTCAACTATTTCCAGCGGTTTTGCGAGAAAAAGTGAAAGCAATCAATGCTGAACTGTGTTATTTGTCTGTCGATAGAGAGTAACATTTTTCAGTCGAATAAGAATCGGGGGAAAAATGGTCGCGAAAGAAATTGCAAGCTAAATTAAAAGGAAAATTGCATGGATGTAGCGAGTGCAGCGGCAATGGCGTGAGTACGGTAGCAAAACAATACAATTCGCCGGCATCAGTCCGTGCAATTTAGTCGATCATGAAAGTAATTAATGCGTTCGACCCGATATCCTCGCACAGACTCCGGCTGGTAATGGAACTGACAGAGAAGTTAGGGGAAAGACAGACGGGAAAAAAGGAAAATATAGGGGGGGAAAAAAAAGAGAGAATTCGGTGAAACTAAACAGAGGCAATTATTACGCGCGTCGCGCTTCGAGAGTCACCGATACAATTGAATTGGACGCCATTGTTTTGCAACATACTGTAAATAGGACACGAGCACATCGTATTTATATATTCCATAGTCTATAGCGTCGCGTTCTCTTCGGCGATTCGTTCTTTAAGACGACAGAATGCATTTAAAGGATTCGATATCCCTAATTATATCATTGATCTTCGATATTTACCGCGACACGACAGCACAAGATTGCGTAACGTTCTCTTCGTTACAAAGCGAAGGTACAGTGACTCGCGAAAGTATTCCAGCATTTACTACGGGAAACTTTTGTGAATGTATCAGGTTGTCCAGAAAGTGTCTTTCTTTTACAGACGCGTCTTTTACAACAGCGCATCTTCATACAAACACGAAACCTATGCTGTCGAACGTTGTGATCTTTAAGTTCGATAGAACAAAATGGATCATAGGTAATTCGATAAAATAATACAAAACAATACAAAAAATCCGTTATTTCCTTACGAAACAAAAGAAACTTTTCGACCTAATATGTCATTTGTTTAGATATTACAGGCATTCTACGAAGCTTCTTCAAACTTTACTGGTACTGCGACGAGACGCGACTATCGACGATCGCAACAGTAAAATTTGGAAGCATCTTGAGACTGTATATAAAAGAGTTACACGACGTTTATCGAAAACGTACGCTTAGTGGAAAATTAGCATACAGCGCGAATAAGAGCATGATCTTAATACAAAAGTCTTAAACGTAGAACCAGCGCTGAAGATAATCTAGCGAACAACTGTCCGTTCAAATACTTTGGTAATCTTCGCGAAACGTATACTTTCAACGAATATCTTGTAACATCCGTACGCACATCTTCGTTGGTTTGAAATTTCATCGATGTAACGACGATGGTCGAGCCTCGTTACGACGCTAATGAGAGAAAATATTTTTTATAATCCATACGAAGAAGAGTTTCGAACGTCCGAATACTTTTGCGAGCCACTGTATTGCTCGCTTCGAGTCGGCATTTCTTTCCCTCCCTCTTGATTTACTTTTTTCTTTTTTTTTCTCTCTCTCTTCCGCTATCGACCGTGCTTTCGAATGCAATTACTCTGCAAGTGCCCCCTTCGAGCGTGCCCCGATACAGGATTTTTCCCAATATCTGTATTACAACGGAACGAAAATCCGCGCAACTCGTTTGCGATGCAAATCAACGCGAGAAACGTTCCATCCTTTCGCCTATTGTAAAGGTGTATCGCATTATACGTTGTTACGGGAACGTAAACGCGCTTTCAGCGCGTGTAAACTTGTATCGATGATTATACGGTAGAAACGAGAGTATAGGAAAGAGCTGTTACTTACGAACATAATGGTAACGATACAGTAATAACGAGCAATAATAATTCGTTTAAACGAACGATTAAGGATGCTTTTCCTTTTTATACCGCGCCTGTGAAAGGCGCAAAACAATTAATCAAGTTTTAAGTAGAATTTGTTCGTTGGAGTTCTCATCGAGACGGATAAAAAGAAATTGAATTTGTTATGAAAATTTAGTTTCTGATCAGGACATTCTTTTACCGTCGAATGTGCAACTGCTCCGCGTTGAAATTACACAGCGATATTTAAATATCGTTAGGTTTAATCGTTTTATTATGTGGCAGCAACCGTCAGTCACGTTTGAATTAATGTTTCTAACGTTATCGTGAATGTCGCGTCGCTTGTTCAAGTTTTCACCTGATTTTCGTTAATTATTTAACTGTGTGCTGGCAACGTGGGGTTAAATAAATCAATCGCATCCGCGATCGAGTTATATCGCATGAACGATGCAAAGCGACGTAATGATTAAATTATTTCCAGAATAAATTGTATACACAGGGTGTTCGCGTAGTTACGGTAACGTTTCTCGTGAAATGTGAAAATATGAAAAAGAGGAAGTTTCAACGTCTTTGGAAACCAACGCGATAGCAAACGTCGATGTTTCGTATTGGCAATTTCCTATTACGATCAACGTTTTCTTCGTTACGTTCCTTGTCAAAGACAACAGCGAAATTCTGTTCTCTTCCGTTTCTTTCGCAAAGCTATCGTTCACAAGATAAACATCGGATAATAACTACTCGAATATCCTGCATACACGATAAACCGATCGATCAAATTGCAAACTTCCTATTTTATAAAATTCTTTCTCACGCCGACGAGCAACAACTGCAAGATAAACGGTAACATCGTGGCGAAGAGAAATAAAAGCGAGAAGGTACAATAGTTGCTATAAACGTAAATGATCGGAGTTAAATATCGGCCAGGGGCCATTATCCTCGCATAAATCATTTCATGGACATTATTTGTACGTAGATTCGCCTGGATAATTATACAGACAATATTTCCCCGTTTCCATGGTGGTCGTTGCAGTAAACGAGTATTTACGGGAAGACTTAGGGCAAGCGGATGCCACACAGCACTAGTTATTTGTGTTATCGTAAATGCCTGTTATCGCGTTCTACGTCCGTTCTTTCTTACGTCGAGTGCTGGCTCGGTCGTCAGCCACCCCGTTGCTAGAACGTAAAAAGATTTTTAGAACGTCGTTATCTTGATCGCGTCAAGGTAATCACAAGTCTCGCTACTTTATTTTTTGTTAAAGGTGGAATGGCGCTGGTGATGCTGTTCGCGAGCCTGCTTCTCTTTGGCCGAGTTTCGCTTTAATCACGATCAGTAAGTTGGACGGGTCTTTGGCTCAATTTACAACGAACTATAACTTCGAAGACAGGAGCCATCCAAAATCCTCCATTATTCGTCGTACGAAGGAAAGTGGGTACACCGTTTGCATCAGTGAAATTGCCAAAGGGATACCAAAGTCGATCTCCCTCAAGATACATACATACAGGACATTAACCACTCGTTTATTAAATCTACGTCGCCGCACTAATTCGCCACCGTTCATTCTCCATCGTTTTACTACGTGTAACTATCACGGAAAAGAGTATCGGCAATAAGAGGAGATCCGAACCTACCGAAGGAAGATTCGCCATGCGAAATAACTATGAAGTTTTAGAAGAGTGTACAATGGTGCGTTGATCAGAGATACCGCGGTTTTCGTCTTAATCCTCGAGTAAATTTCCGAGCTTGGACTGATCGGAAAATTGAGTTTTTTCTTTGTTTTTGTTCGCGTGTTCTTAACCGAACGATCTCTCAATTTTCTAAATTTCGATTACCGTGGAATTAAAAGTTGACAAAGAGTATTCGATATCGAATTTCAGTTAGACGGATTCCAGTCCTTAGAAAAGTCTAAATACGATTTATTTTTAACAAATCGATACGATGGATGGAAATATGAGAGATTCGCAAATAAAAATATTATCGCGCTTGATTAGTTGGAAATGCGAGTAACGAGTTTCCCGGCCAATCGAGCTTCACGAGCAACGTGATTTTTTATTAAAAAATCAAATTTATCGCATTATTTCGAATATAGATTTAAACGATGAAATATAATTCTTGAGAGACTCGCTGGATCTCTCGCAACGATCAGTTACTTTGCATCTCTTAACAAATTTATAAAGTAAGAGGCTCGTGTATCGCTTAACAACACGCCGCGTGCACTTGCTAAAAACTTCATAACGTTTTATCTTTACAAACTCGAGAACGTTCCCTGTTAGTATAGATACTTAACGAACGCGTACGAAGAGAGGATATTACGAGAGTTGTATAAGTAACGACACGAGTCTATAATTTGTTGTAGAATGACGTATCCAAAGTGCTGAATTGTTAATGTTTTTCTCCTCGTACGGAAACGAATTTATTAAATCGCTATGAACTATCTACCCGAAGAATTTATTTGAAAGTCATACGTATAGTGAACAGAGAAACACGAAATATTCGCCTTCCTAAGTACACTACGAATGTATTTATTATTACATCCTCTATATGACTGTGATGTTTCCATTCCTTCTTAGTTCATTAGAAAAACGAATACAAGTCTGAATATAACGCGAATAAATCATAGAGGGGTTCGTAACGTGAACAATAGTTGATCGAACGGTTACGAACCGCCGCTCAAATTAAGCGAAGAACAAACGGATTTACGATTTGCTATCGGAGCTTCGATATCTTCAAAGAATCAATTTAAACAAGCGGAGAAAGTACCGGCGCGATACGAATTTCGCTGGCGAGCGAAATTAGCCGGTTTTAATAATGTATGCACGTGTTCGAGTATTGAAATGTGTAATCGTACGGATGACTATCAAATCGAGAAGTATAGTCAGACAGTAGAGGGAAGAGCAATACCTAACTTTAATAATCGATCGGGACAATTACGACTACGCTGGTTATTGCTGAAAAAGTTTGAAATAATTTTCTGAACACGGTTCGAATACTATAGGAAGGTGATTCTATCTGTTATGAAGTATATATGTAAATTAGGCTCATCTTGGCAAATTATTGAAACCAAAAGCTGAGTTGCTGAGAAGGAATATTTCGTTCTTAAGGAAGAATCATTTTATTACGCTCTAGTTATATGAATATATGAATAACAATCTGTGTAATCTAACAGCAAGTGATACACAATTTTTAATATATTTTGTGATATATTTGCATGAATAATTGGGATATTTTTAACAAACAAAGTAATCGAGTTTTTCGTCGCTTGACCTATTGATTCTCAATTCTGTCGCTGATAAGCTACGTTCAAAACAACAATGAACGACACTTAAACAATAGTTAGATTCTGTTTCGAACCGAAGCAAGAGCGAATAGTTCAGGAAATGTGCAAACAGTCGCGGTTTAATGAAAAGACAACAGAGTAAGAAGTTGCAGCTCGGAGGCTGTTAAGATAAAACACGATACATAAAACTTTCATGCTCAAACTTCATCCACTTCAGGTATAATCAATAAAGACAAATGTTCAACGACCAATGCGAGAAAGAGGGATGAAGGAGAGACAATGGAGAAATGCATCGGCACATCGCCATGCCGAGGCAGAAAGTCATTATCGTCCAAGTTAACGATAGTTTCGCGGTACTTCGCACAAAGGTCCGCCACTTTCCTGGAAAATTATTTCAAACTATAAACCGGCCAAACTGTAAACCGAAAATCAAGCTCGCTTCCTCGAGCTTCTCGCGTTTAAGCATAGCCAGCAACAGAAGTGTAATGTGGTTTTATACAATCATTGTGACCGTCAATCTCGAAGATACGTCGATCAAATATAATATCGTGTAACGAACAACAAAAGCAAATAAACTATAACGAGCGAACAAGGAGAATACAAAGATCATCGTTGATGTTCAAAAATGTTAAAGCGCCAAGGATACATCGAAGGAAGATAAAATCGTTAAACTCTGGCGAGTTCGACATTGCATCGATGTATCCAATGATACATAAGGATAGGTAGCAATACTGTCATTGTGTATGTTAGACTACTGTGGATATTTTTTAATAGGTTTATAATGCGTTGACTACTTCTCCCGAGTTTCTAGTTGATTTATAAAGAAAGAAAGAGGTAAAAGAGAGGAGTATGACTGTGGATTACGATTTGAACGTCTCTGTGCGCATGAGAAAGTAAAAAATGGACTGTACAATGTATATGAGCAGTTATCACTTACGTTTATTGTTATTTATATGTTGTCTATGAAGAGATGAATACGGCAGAAACACTATTAGGAAGTTGTACACCCGAATTGGCACTATGAAATGCTTCTATGTAACTACCACGTTGTAAATATTGTTATATTTAATCCGTTCGAGTTGCTGTCAACAACAGTATATTGTCAAGCTGTTTCATTCCGTACCGATAAAGCTCGGTACGTGGCGGAATTAAACGAGAACGATATATGTCGTAGCATTGGTGGTTCGAACCTGAGGTCTACTAATTTTGCTGTTCCGTTTCATGCACTCAATCTCACGTCTACATTGATTTAGACAGCGATAAACAGGCGAATTCGTTCGTTTCGCGTTGCAGCTAAAGCCTTAATTAAAACGACACTTATCGATTCTATTAGGAGCTACGTATTAAACGCAGAGAATTTGATATACGTACGCGCTTCTAAACGTAGGCGAGATTATACTTTTGCGTCGTTCTATAAAGTTAATTTGCCACAATAAAAAGAAAAAGAAAAAAAGAAAATGCCTAGTTGAGTTTGCGAAGATTAGTGCACTTGTATGCAGTTAAAGGAGGATCTATGTGTACAAGAACGACTTAACTAGTTGAATAGTTATTAAAATTTCAATCTCTTGCGATTTACGACTCAACGAGCGCTCCGTAATTAGGCAGGAAGTTCAGGGGCGGCCTAGCAGCAAGTTCCTGAGTCCAAAGAAACAAAAGAGAAATAAAAAAATAAACTTTTATCCTTACACACCGCATATTACTGGGACCTGTAAGTTATCAAAGTTGCGCCTGGGGCGCTCCAAAACTTTGTCCTGCGGTTAAAACTGTTCAAAAGCATCGTAGTCATGCTCCGGACAAAGCGCGATCATTGATCGGAGCATCGACTATGGTATCCGCTAGTGGCGGATGTATTTTCTTATTCTGTTTTGAGGCTCTTGCCGGAACATCTCACGCATAAGTTACTAAACTGTAATGCAATCATCGTTACTGTCCTAATAAACCTTAACATATGACTCTGTACGAGACGTCTAATAATTTTTCTTTGCGTCACAACGAGACGAATTTGTTAATTTCAGTTCTGTTTGGGAAACGTTCGAGTAGATGTATATAACAGTAACGTCCTAAGTAAAATCGAATGTCTTCTGGTTTCGTCCTAAAATGAATTATTACGACGATGTTAAATAATATTTTATATTTATGGCGTTAAAAGCAAGTCAAATATATACTGAAAATAAAAATACATGAAATATAGCTATATACGTAACTAGCTGTATTTATTTTTAAAAATCTGGTTTCTACAAATATATTCCTAAATGGAACTGACATTATTAAGAATTTCTTTGCATTTTTCTGTACGTTCAACTAGTGCATATCTTTACCTGTTTACTTTATTCTTTACTTGTCGAAACTATCAATCTTAAGGATATGCTGCTCTGTTTTCATTTCAGATATCAGAAATTTCATAAAGACACGGAACAGTTGTGTCAAACGTAATTAAAACTTAATTTTTATCGCCATTTGTTTAAACAATTAATTAGAATAAAAAGTTACTTTGGAGTGATACATATAGTGTCAATATAAAATAAAAACTCTTATTTTAAATTGCTTTCAAATGACCAGTCTTTCATTTTCTCCTATTCCAAGTAATCTTTGTTCAGTTTTAATTAACAAAATAATTCATACATATTCCGCAGAAAAAAACTTTATTAAAAAGAGATATGGAAGTAATAACATAACCTATAATATTAGGAATCTACTTTTTCGTGAAAACTATAAAAAGAATTTACGCAAAATTACAATTTAAAACACTTTGAAGTTTTCACAATGAAACGGTCTTTCTTGCAGGAACAAATTTGGACTGAAATTAATAAAATGTTACAAAAATATATATACGTACTTTAATCCTTTGTCCCTACACGAGTTTATTTTATTTTTCATTCTTGGCCTTTGGTATCACACGCAAATAGCACAGTGTCACAGGTGAAGAGATCTGAATCTTTACTTTCAACGCAGAAGATTTATGTCATTACACAATAAATTTGCGCAATAAATTCTTCAACATTATGTCATCCGCTTTATTAACCGCATTCACAACCGTGTATTTGTATTTGAAGAACGCGGATACGTATATCGCATTCGCCAAAGTTCGCCGCGAAACGACCTTACTTGTACTAGCCGTGACGTTAGCTGTTTATATCGAAAACGCTAACCGATCAGAATATCGAATACATAGGAACTTCGCAGATGTTCGCCACGTAGAGAACTCCTTTGTAGATTTACCACGAAAACCTGTTCATCAATTTCACGTCCCACATTGCCTGTTCGCTTTACGGTGTTCTTTTTACGCTGAAAACAAGCCACTACGGTCCTGAAGACGCTGGTTAAATTCCTCCATAACTTTGCAAGATCGTTAACCAAGGAAAGATCTCGCCACTTGAGCTTAAAGTGCTATGAAATGAGAATACTCTGTTCGCGTTGTATAAACGTCCGAGTGAAATTGTTTGAGATAATTATCTGTAGCAATTAGAACGCGGACAAACGGTGTGCAAGCTCTCGTACAACAGTAAAACGTCACTATTCTTTAACAAAATTATTTTTTCAAGTACGAAACGTGAGAATAACCTACAAAGGACGCGCTGAAAGCCTTCCGTTTTTCTAACGGCATTGGTCACTTGCCAGATGCACGTAGATGTAACTGGGATAAAACGCGTGCGGGTGGGCTACACTAAAAAAAAAAGTTTGTCGCCATTAAATCTCCTTAACATGTTATTTTTATTTTAGAGCGTGTCCCGTTTGCGTCAGAATAAAATGCGTTAGATTCAACGTACTTTTTTATGCAGCTAATGTCCGTGTCCGGGTATCGTTGGTTTATTTAAAGAAACGAGTCACGTTCTTTGTTTTCGATTTCCGAAAACATTTTTGCGAAGGGACAACCAAAGATGTCCTTTTTTTTATAAATATTATATTCGTGTAATAATACCTTAAAGACGATAAAATAGATCTTCTGATAAATAATGTGAAAACGGAATTTCTTCGATTAAATTATCAGTGTAAGTAATAAGTTTTATAGATACTATTACGATGTTTAATTGATCGAACAAACAATTTAAACACCAATGTTTATTTTTAAATTATTTGATAAATTTGTTATCGTGCGATGTTATCATAGATAAGATACCCTCGTTATTCCTCATACAGAAATAGACCATTTTCACCTAACACGTAGCGGCACACCGCGGCGAGCGTATGTAGTTTGATATTCATTCCACGTATCACAGATGTTACCTGCATTTTAAAGTTCGTGGTGTCGCAGGTGGTATCATCCGTCGTTCACGAGAATCACGAAACAGACAAATAAATATAAAATTATCCATAATAAGTAACATCTAAAATCAAAACTCTCTTCTATCCTCTTATTAGAAAAAATACTCAAAACAAATGCCTGATTCTCAGCTCGACGAATTTTCTCAAAAATCAACTAGAGAAAATCTCGTTACAACTTAGTCGTAACTGTGACAAACACAGAAAACACTTGCAGTTCTCAAAAGTTCCTTTCTTGCGCGTTCGAAAATGCGCTCCGAAAATTCTTAATCAATTCAATATATGAAAGAAATTAGGTCAATTGCCAGAGCGTCGCGACGCTTCTTGCGATATGCTATCAGGAAACAAATACATGAGAGTCGCTGATCGGGAGAATTCGGGTATTCTCGTGACGTTTAATCGCCCCTCGCCACAGGCGAGGTATATCTGTGCTCTTACATCGATTCACTTACACTAAGTTGCTCGTAGAGTACAGTTAGCGTCCGCGGAGCACACGGAAACGTGAAGAGGTTGGCAAGGAAGAAAGGTGTGCGATCGACGTGTAGAAAGACAGCAGATTGTATACCGTGAATCGCGCGCGTGTGCAGTGCGGTGTATCGCGTGAAGGAGCAGCCGTGCGTATGCGTAGCCGGCTATATGGACGAACTTGAAGTCGAGAGGGAAGAAGCTGTGCGAGAGTAGACAGAGCGGCGGCGGTGGTGAGCGCGGGCAAGCGGGTCAGCATTGGTAAGCAAGCAAGTAAGAGCACGATTAGCCGAAAACGCGCAGTCGCGCGGTGATCCTGTCGGGTGGGAGGCGATCAGCTGTAAGCACGCGAGGAGCGAAATGTTCGTCCTGCAGAGGTCTATATTGTGAGTATCAAAAATTTTTACAACAAACCGCGTACACGAAGCGACGGATCTCGATTAAACGCGTAGCCCGACCTTACTACACCGGTATACCGTAAGACACGCACGTGCGCGCCGATTCAGATCGCCGAGAGAGGCGGAAAAGACTAGCGAAATACGCGAGAAGGGCCGCCGTAACCTAGCTTCTGCCGCAATGCAGTGCTGAAAATAGGAACGCGCTGGGAATCCGTCGATCGATACGGGGTTACCGTGTGTTCTGTGGGACAGTGCCAAACGAAATCGTATCGTGCTCACATCCGGATGAACTCCCAAATTTTCCCATTTCGCACGCTCTTTGTTTCCTCTATACTTCATCCCGCAGCATCCAATTTCCGCCGGTATCGTACAACGTGTGCAAGGGCCGGTAATTTTATCCCCTCTATCATCGCATCCTGTTTGGTCTTTCCTTCCTCTCGGAACATCGACTCGTGGACGTGCTGATTGATACTTGTCGAAAAATTTGAGAAAATAAGGGTTCGTTTCTGGTGAAATTTTCTGCTCGTGCCTTATCGTCATTCTTTAAATCTTATTTATGAATAAGTGATCGTTTATTTGTACGGAATAGTTCATTCGCTCGATTCCCTTTGGCGCACCTATCGTTTTAACGAAGTTTTCCATCGATCGTAACACGTGCAGCAAGCTACGCTGCCAGATACATATGTATATCTGGAATTCGTATTTCGCTCGTTGTATTCATCTTTTCTCAAACGAACATACATATACAGAGCATTAATCTATTTTTATAACCAAACGATATTAGACGTTGTTTGAGGTGTCCTTGGAAATGTGTAATATCATGTCTTCGTGGAAACCAGCGTCGACAAATTTCGAGTTGAATGTCCTTGCATTTCGTCTGACCTCTCTTGTTCCACCCATATTTATTGATCTTCGCTATATTTTAGTGAATTGTTTTAAAAACGACACGAATTTATTATTATTCATTTATAGTAAATGTATACAGAAAAGATCTGCTTGGATTGTTTTCCTTCTTTCTATTTTCGTCCTATAAGACAATAACCAATACTACTATTATGACATCTAGAACTTACACATATGTATACATGTTTACATGAGTTTAATACATTCCTGATTGTGTATATTTGGTGACTACCAGTTTTGCAAACATGATATACGATTTGAGACTTCATGTTGTATATTAAATGAAATATATGCAATAAAATTGTATATTTAAAATATTTAACGTTATTTAACGTTAGGGAGAAGTTAAAATATAAAACTATTATTATATCCTCACTTTTACTATGGTACTGAAATTCTTAACAATATTTTCTTTTTATATTTACAACGTTATCTTAAATTTGTATTTTATTTCGTTAGATTAATGCTATTCTTCCATAAAAAAAATGTCATCGTCAAGTAATACAAGGTCAATAGAGATAAAGAGGAGTTTAAATAGATGTTTAGTATAAACTTGGAAGGTAATCTATAAATACGAATTAACAGCTGTCTAGGTCCTCGTTTCTTATTTGAATATTAAATATTTGCGTTTTAGCGTTACTCGTTCATAGACAAATATTAATCGTTCGAAGAAAAATGAAATTATATATTAACGTAATCTAATTAGAAACAATAAAAGTTAAATTCTTAGTTTCTACTCTTTTATTTGTCAACGTTATTTTTTAAATAAAAAAGATAGTAATGTTTATCTATAAGTTTCCTCGCCATTTAACAATTATTTTATGTACCTCTGACGTCAAGTACCTCTGTTCATCTTTGTTATTACATGCGTTAACTTTTAAGTATTAAAAGTTTCGTATTTCATATTTTAAATGTTTCTCTAACAGTGAATGAGGAAAAGTCATAAACCGATCATGCAGAAAAATGCTCTTGCTTCGATTACAAGCGATTAGTCATCAGATTAATCTCTGGAAATTACGGTATACTCATAGACCATAGCCATTACATACCAATAAAGTTATATTGGTATTGTACATAATACTTTGAATCGACTAACTTACGTAAGGCATGTAAACAATCGTTTTGTACGTGGGATGTAGTTCAGTTCTGAAAAATTTACGAAATTTACTTAAATGTCAAGTTCTTGCAAATTAGTAAAATATTTTAAGATAATATAACAATTAATGGCCACAAAACAGTAGAAAGATAACTTACCGATTTTTTCATAGTTATTTAAATTATTGGTTATATACCTTATCGTATAACGTATATCTTAACTATGAATTATGTTATGTAAAAAAAAGAAAAATCGATGGTTTTTCATACGTTCAGCATCGTTCTATCGTTCTATATACGTTCATCTTTGTCTATCACGTGCTATTTTTTTTTTTCAAAAAAGATTTCTATAAGTAATCCATGAAAGAGATACACTATAAAGTAAATTTTAAATCGTAAATGTAAAATTGCTCGAATCTATCTTTGCAAATTCTAACACATCGTCCAACATTTGTGAAGATGATCCCGTGTTTATTGTTTAACATTCAAATCGTAAACTGTGTATACAGGTATTTCGCAAAGCTAGCGAACACATTGTAATTTTACGTATGCAAATATTTATTGTTCCTGGCTTTATAACAAATAGTCTTTACAAACACACGTGCTTCCAGAAAATGACGTCAACGCTATGTCATGTAGCTGCACCCAGCTAATACCGAGGAAACCGTAATGACCAAGCTACCATATGATAGAGCTGATATAGGTCAAAGCTGATCATACAAATGAGTTGCGTACAGAAGGAAGTTCCGATTCAATCGAAAAGAGAGTTTGATACGCAAAATTGTTCATCCTCAAGCATCTTCTAATATTATCCCATGAACGCTCGTTTCTACGTTTTACAACGAATAAATATTACCCTTCTAAACGTGTAAATTATTGGAACCGAGAGTACGATTTTCAACGACGATCCGATAATATTATCTTAATAGCGATAAAATATAACAATGATTTCTCTGAAACGACTGATAATCGTTATGAAATAGATGTTCGTCCAGGACATAAACGTTTCCACCAACATATTTTTCAGAGTTATTTGTTTAAATTTGGCAGTCTGCCATTGAAATAATTATAGATCGGCCCGTTCTCTTTACAGAAATGCAATAACCTTTTTGCTACCTAGTTACATATTCTTGAAAGTATCTACTACGTTATATCATTGCACGCCTACTACGAAATTTGGTCGTACGAAACGTAGCGCTGCTAGAAACAGGCATCTTCATCCTACCTCGATCCATGAAGTATGTATAATCAATTGCAGTCACGTGCCTTAATTCCATAGTTTAGTTATAACCAGATCAAACCGATAAGGTTTTATTGTGCAATGTCCAGTTATTATCTATGACTCAGAAATCTTGTCGAATTCGAAACGAACAGCTAAATGCACTTGATCGTCACCTTCGCGAATTATTGTTCGTATTAAGCGACCATGAAATTTACCGAATAGCGAGGATATCGCTCGACCTTAAAAATCACAAATTATATCTTCAACGTACGAACATAATTTACATTTAAACACTGTTATTGCACATTTAAGAGTTGTTTATTTAAATTTTGTATAGCATTTAAAACTAACAAAGCAAATCCCGATTTCTGGTTTAAGAAAATGTTTTTTCCCAATTTGTAACGTTGCAATTTTTATTCGTGCAACTCTTTGTTAGCTTAGTTTGAAAGGCCATGGCCAATGACGAATGTGCGAACGTGTCAAATTACCACTTATGCAGAATTTATTCTAAGTCTAATGAATATACGATTAAATGACAGGGTATCGTGTTATCCACATTCCGCTCGGTTTCTCTGGTTACAATGCTTTCAACGCGTCCTTAATCGATACGAACTCTCCACTTTGACATTTTCAATCTCTGCCGATAGTTTGATTTACTACAAATCGATTGTATGCGCTTGCAGCTCTTTCGTGCGATTACGTAAAAGAAGAATACGAATATAATCGTAGTTATATCTGTCAATCGTAAAATCGATATCTGTACTATCCGTGACATTAAGCTTCCGACGCGGCAGTTCTAACCTAACTAAAAATGCTGAGATCTTTGCGTGTACGATGAAAAATATCACGATAGCAAGTTGAAATTAAATTTCATTTTGATTAATTTTTTGCTAAAAAAAACAAACACGTACTGAACAGGAGAAATGTGTATTTTTAATAAAACACTCATCGTATTATATCTTCTCTGACTGTATCATAGAAAAACTGGTATCGATAATTTACAAATTGTAAAATTTCACTAATAATACTAGTTTAATGGCACAAAGACGGTGTCTGTTATCGTGATTTGTCAGTTAACTTTCTTCAATTTGTTTTAAACGTTTTCCTTTAAAATCGTTCGAGACTTTATCGTTTCCTCAACAAGTTGCTTTTGCAACAAGTGTTTGTCGTTAAAAAGAAAAAGTCGTCGATCATGATAGAATTGAACAGAAACTTTCTGACTGACGTTAATCGGTTTTTAGAAAAGCTAAGTAGAGTTTTAACTCGTTCTCACGCATCGAACGTTACGTACATGATTCATTCATTCGGTTGAACGTACTAATTGGCAAGCATTTGTGTTGAGGATTCATAAACCAACGGATGTTTTAATTTTAAATACAATTTTACTAATAGCTAGGGAACGAACAATATACGATGTTTATAACATGGAGTTATGAACAAAACGGGAAATATTTTCAATTAAACGCAGAGGAATATTAAGCTTCTATTTCTAGCAAATTTACTTCTCCCGAAATTACTTAAATTAGGTTGCGAGAAACGAGGAACATCAACTTTTACACTATTTTACGCTTGTTATCGTTTCAGAGATAAGAAAACTCTTAAAAGAGTATTATCTTTTAATCCCTCTTATAAATTATCCTTCTTTGACAAAACATTGCATATATTTCGTACAAACACCAACCAACGTAATAACTAATTATTATTAAATTCATAGAATATAGAGATTCTATAGTCAAGAATAAAAAAAAATATGACGAAAGTTTTATTTTTGAGAAGATTAATTTAAAGACGTGTATACACGCGTGTTTAATTAATTGTCATCTAGCAAGGAATAGACAATTGGTAGAGGAAGATTACCCTAACTTTATTCTGAAATAAGTCGAAGATATTAAATTTTCTGTGTGAAGTCACGAGCTCGAAGTTTCCAAGAAAATCGAACTTGAAAATTGACAACATTTTTATGCAATTATAAAAATAATTTACATGAAAAAAACAGATGAAATGACTATTTCTTTACTAGATCGCCCAGCAGCAGAAATTGTGCAGGATCATGGGCGCGAATGCTGCCACCTACGCATCCTGCTGCAAAAGATATTCAAAGGATATACAGAGAAATCCACGAAGTGTCTGGAGATGTCGTACCTATCAATATGGTGAAAGGTATTGGCCATTTGAGGGACCCTCGACTTAATAAGGTATTTAAAATTCATCTCCATTAGCTATCATGTCTTATAAAATATCTTTATAATTTTTTCTTTCATAAATTTTAATTCTTTGTTTAAAACTGTAATTTAAATCTAACGAACAGAGGGCAGTCTCCAGAAAACCCGAAGAAAGAAATAATTTTTTTTTTATCATCGATCAAATGATAAAGTTCCCTCATTGTGAAAACAGATATTTATCACAGAAGTGTACCTCTTCTTGAGATATTCAAAGATCTGATATTCTTATTCAGGGACTGGCATTTACTTTGCAAGAAAGAATATCCTTAGGTATACACGGCTTGCAACCACCAAGATTCAAAACTCAGGAAGAACAATTGGCTCTGTGCAAGGCCTCGGTCATGAAGTATACAGAAGATTTAAATCGGTATCTTTATCTCGTGGAATTACAGGTAAAATAAGAAATAATTTTCGATTCTAAGAACATATAAAATTCAAGGTAATTATCGATATCTCACCCACCTCACCGATTTCGATAACTTTTGGATACATTGAAGAAATCAACACTTTCCCCATTTTTCCCCCTATACATGTAACTCCCAATTGGCCTTAATTTCCAAAATACTATGTTTTATCTATCTGTATCTATGTTTTAACTGTGCGTTGGTTAACTATGCATCAGCTTGATAGGCGGCATCCTCAAGGCGACCAGATAAAATGAACAAAACCTATTTCTTATTTCTTGATTATAGTTTATATAGATTTGAGTTAGGCCACGAGGCAGCTGGCTACCAAACCTATTGACATGCTGTCACGAACGTACATTTACAAACAAAGTTCACACTGTAATGATATTGATAGCTTTGGCTAAGACTATAAGGTCGAGCAATGGTTACATGTATAAGAAAATGTTGTCTAGTATTATAGCTCTAACAACATATCCAGAAATCTTCGAAGTCGCTGAAATGGATAAGATATCGATAATTGCCAAATTCGAAGTGATTATTCACGAATCGGTTAATTCGCAGGAAAGAAACGAGAGATTGTTTTTTCGTCTATTAAGTGAAAACATCGAGCAGATGATGCCAATCGTATATACTCCTACCGTGGGTTTAGCCTGTCAGAAGTTCGGCGTTATCTACCGTAGACCTCGTGGATTATTTATCACAATATATGATAAAGGTCACATTTACGAGATCCTAAACAACTGGTTCGTATTTCATACAAGTGTAAATTAGCGCTTTGAGTCCTGAATTATATTACCGTTGTTTTTATATTAAATATATATATTTATGTTTCATGTATTCATATCTTTGAAATTTATATTTCAAAGATATGGATAAGTATGTACCTTGTTTTGGGAGCTAATGGAATAAATTATTGAATAGATTAACACTCAAAACTTTGTAATGTGTTTCTATGATTTACAAAGCAAAGTTGTAAAGTTAGATTAAAAACTTTCATATCTGCACTGAATTTTTTAAACCATAAATCAATTTTATAAAATAACATATTTTAAATTATATTTCCTCTTCTTGTAAAATATTGATTGATTTACAGTAATTTACATTAGTTTATCACGTAACATTATATTTAGGCCTGAGCAAGCGGTTCGTGCAATTTGCGTAACAGATGGAGAGAGAATTCTCGGTCTCGGTGATCTCGGTGCTTGTGGGATGGGAATTCCGGTAGGAAAATTAGCTCTTTACACCGCCCTGGCTGGCATAAAACCACACCAATGCCTACCAATTACTATCGACGTCGGCACAAATAACGAACAGCTGAGAGACGATCCTCATTATATTGGTCTTAACAAACCCAGAAGTCAAGGCGCTGAATATGATGAATTAATTGATGAATTTATGGCTGCTTGCGTGAAAAAATATGGCCAAAATGTTCTCATTCAAGTACGATTACAAACGATGCCGTTTCTTTTCCTTCAATTTAGTTACATATAATAAATATTTCATACTGGTGTACTGTTACAGTTCGAGGACTTCGGAAATCACAATGCCTTTCGTTTCTTAGATAAATATCGTGACAAGTATTGTACGTTTAACGATGATATACAAGGTACTGCCGCAGTTGCGGTTGCTGGAATTTTAGCATCGAAAAGAATAACCAAGAAATCTATGTCCCAAAATAAATTCGTATTTTTGGGTGCTGGTGAGGTATGCAATAGTTTATATATCATAAAAACAGATCACTATTTTTATAGTCACGTCCTATTTTGGCTCTTAAATCTTTTTTAATTAATATAGGCAGCTATTGGAATAGCTGACCTTTGTGTTAAAGCGATGGAAGCAGATGGTTGTACCGAACAGGAAGCTCGTGATAATATTTGGATGATGGATATTGATGGATTGCTAGTTAAAAATCGACCAGAAGGTAACCTGGAAGGTCATAAGATCTGGTATGCGAAAGATTACAAAGTGATGAAATCACTATTGGAAGTTGTAAAAGAAGTGAAACCAACTGTTCTAATTGGTACGTAATCCTTAATTTATCGACATGCTTTCATCTCTATCTAAAGTAAGAATGTTGGTACAGGTGCTTCAGCAGCAGCAGGAGCATTCACTCCTGAAGTCTTGAAAGAAATGGCCAAAAACAACGAAAGACCTCTGATCTTTGCATTGAGTAATCCAACTATCAAAGCAGAGTGCACGGCTCAACAAGCTTACGATCATACAAATGTATGAAAATTATTTGTATTAATGAAACTTTATTCGAAGCGTGCAGAAAAATACGATGACTTTTTGTATCTTAGGGAAAATGCATTTTCTCGTCGGGTTCTCCGTTTGGCGAAGTACACTATAACGGAAAAGTATATAAACCTGGACAAGGAAACAACGCGTACATTTTTCCTGGAATCGCATTGGGCGTCATCGCGACTGGATGTCATCACATTACAGAAGATTTATTCCTAATCTCGGCTCAAGCTGTTGCTGATCACGTGAAAGACGAAGATCTCGAAGTGGGCAGTCTCTACCCACCGTTGAACACTATTCGTGAATGTTCAATTGATATCGCCGTACGAATTGCTAACTACGCTTACGCTAAAAGTAAGTTCTTTGACTACGTATATTTAAGTTTAATTTTTCAAATCAGTAACAATATACAAGGTGCCCAAACAAAGATTGTAGAACATTGAAGGTGCTTCTGGAAGCCACAATAAGTTAAAAATGAAGAATGTAAGAATTACGTTCGAGACTTTGATTGTTACATTTATTCGCTAGTTGAGTTTTAAATACCATTAATTAATAAAAGTCTCGATCTTTTGTTTTCTTAATTACCGTTGTATTTTGGCTTGTATAAGTGGCTCCTAAATCTTCTAGCATCTTTATCTGAGCACACTGTGATAATGTGATATGTAATAATGATATTAAACTTCTAAATGTGATTTTGAACAATATATCTCAAATTTTATCTCATTTATCAGCTGGATTGGCAAGTGAATATCCAGAACCAAAAGACAAACGCGAATTTATTGTAAGTAAGATGTACGATGCTAACTATGACAGTCCACTGCCAAATCTTTACGACTGGCCAGGAGATTATGCCAAACCACGTGTTTTACCAGATAAGTAAGTATGATATGAAATTAACAATTCCGTCTAGCATTTCTCATTTTATTGTAAAAACACTTTTGTTTAAAAAAGGAAGCGTTTTAGAAATAATGTAGGGATGCGTAGACTAATAGGAATTAATGATATTAGAATTTGTTTAGAAAGCCAATAGTGCATACAAGAAATAGTAAGTTTAAAGATATGATAGTAGGCAAATTAACATCAACTCAGTGAATACATTAACATGCATGTCGCTTTTTAATTTCTCTTGCAGAGGTGCATAATATGTAGCATTGCTTTATTTCTCTTAGTTTTTTTTAATACTTTTCTTTCAAAAATTTAATATCACTTAGAAACTGAAATTTTTTTGTTGTTGCAATTAACTACAAATATAGTTAATCATAAACGTTCAGTATTTAGCTAGCGCATATTCATTATCTTCTGCGAAGAAAAGGCTATAGAATATTATGTGTTAATTTCTAATTTCTAAAAAGCTAAAAAAAGTCGAAAGGAATATCTTTTCTCTGTACAGCTATCTTTCATATTAAACGCTTGTTGTATGAATCATAGTTCAATTATTTCTTTAGCTGTTTACGTTATCGTATGCTCGTTGCTCATCAGTGACTGACTTCGGTGCAGGCCGCTGAAGCTTAATTAATCTTTTTCAGAGACACTGTAGAAATCCGCCACGATTTAAAACATCTGTAGCGGATTTCACCGGGCGGAATATTCAGAAGCTATCATTATTACCATTATCAATAAAAATATCGCTGTATCCTGTATCGAAACTATAAGACAGGTCGTGACACAAGTACAGGCAACAATGCAGTTGTAAAACAATCTTAACTGTAAGGACTGTTACTCTGTCAGTGACTAATGCCAGTGCTTTTACCATATAACTTGCACGAGGTGTTAAGCACGAGAAACAGTTACATAGTGCTATTATTACAGCATCGAATGTCTCAGTAAGCTAACATTGCAGTATTTTAACGTTCTCCTTCATCCCATATGCAATATTAGGATTGCTAGTTTATCGTTCAAAACCGTACTAGGTATTAACCAGTGAAAGTATTTAAAGAAAGTTTATAATGTTGTTATTCACCTCTATGCCCTACATTTATGTTGCATAAAAGAAAGATACAAAAACCGATATGACACATAGAGGTACGCCTGCATAGTACGTGTATGATTTTATATTATACATATACACACCTAAGTATACATATACAAACATAACATAATAAAATTAAGTAAATATTTGTACAGTGAAATTTTTCGATCGTAAAATTGATAACAAATAAAATGAAAAATTTCACCAATACATACGATTGTTTCTAAGTATGGCTAGAAATTTCATTTTTTCTTTTTTTCATTTATTTCGAGTATTTCGAGGGATTCTCTCTGAAAGATGTTATTTTATAAATAACATTTTTTTCGACATAGGGACGAATTTTCGTAAAAATCAAATACATATTGTACTGTATGTTTAAGGTTACCCGATTTTTCCTTTTCGGACGATGCCAATATGTCCCAATCTCCTCTCACCCTGAAGAGTCAATCTACTTCCCCAAAAGAAATCCCAATCAAATTGAACAAATGTACGGTCCAAAGATGATTGGTGCACTTGAAGCACACTTTAGTGCTGTCACATTTTTATTTTGCCATATTTTATATATACTTTTAATAAATAAACATCATTTTATAAATAAGAAAGGGAAAAGATAGTAGTGAGATTATGCAAAACAACTGTCATTTGTGACTTTTAATACAACACCTTTGATCGTTGCTTTTGCAATTAGTATCCGTTTCAAATTATAGACAAATTTATCTTAGGTTTGCTCAAATATATTCGCGCGTAAGCGAATAACATTTTACGGGTAAAATAATGTAATGTTTAAAGCTACCGATAGCACATACCGACATAATCGAAAACTGGTTCCGAGTTTGCTATTTGAATGCTGTGTGTCACATGTAAAAAGTATTTTGCAAGCGGTAATGAGATCATTAGATATGTATTTCATATCCTAAAATATACATGCAGTTACATATTTGTTCCTGAAATATTTTCGGTGTTTATACTTTTCGGGCAATTGTTGTATAAAGCAATTCTATACAAATCAAATAGTACGACTTATTTTTCTCTACGTATCAAAGAGTGTCTATTTTCACGAAGACGTATTAAAAACGCGCTATATATAGATCAATATTTTATTCTAGATTTGTAACGATATATTTTGTCGAGTTTCGCATGCTCTGTCCAATATAAAATTCCGAGAAACCGCACGAAACGTATACTATACATGCATAAAATGTGTTTGTATGTGTCATATAACATGTAATTGATCGTTAGTTAGCCAAAATGCCGGTTATTGAGCCCGGATACAATGCGTGAGAATGTTTGCTACTACGAATTTCGTTGTTTACTTTTACACTTTAAAATGTCACAGTGAGTTTAGCCAAGTGACGAAATCTCGGTGTCGAGTGCTAGTACATTAGACCAGCGATTGGAAGAGATATATTCATGTCACAATCTGATTTCTTATGTATGTAGCTGAATACAGTCGCAAATCGTCACTTAGTTAAGCGTAACACGTTAATAAAGTATTATTACATCATTACTAACCGTGTTCTTCTCCCAACAGATTATGACGTGTTGGCGAGTTAAAAGACAAGACGACTGCTCTGACGTATATACAGTCGTTTTAAGTTAATTCGAGTCAAATTTCAAACAGAATGACTCAAAAGATGGCTATACTCCCATAATCCTTTAAACAAAAGTTTTATTCTGATACATCAGGAAATTCAGTTCTTAAACCAACTTCTTTAAGTGCTGATACTCCGTACTTATTTATTATTAATTTAAAGCCACAATTATATTATATATATATATATGTACGTGTACATATATATATGTATATGTACGTAGGCTGTTCACTAATTTCAGATCAGTATCTTTATTTATTTTATTTATTTATTACTTTTATTTTTATTTGTATTTAAATTGAACAACTAATGTATGTAAATCAAAAAGTATTATTATATTGTGATACTTTCTTTTGAACACTTAAAGAAGAAATTAGTGAATAGTTATTGCTTGTAGGAATTACGTCAATATATTGCTGATGTATTATCTATCATTTGAATTTCTATTAATATATGAACAAATTTTTTTTCAAAAACTGCAATCTAACTAATCGTGTGAAATTTAGTATGATATATTATATCTTAAAAAAGGCGATATTTATAATCATCAAAAGAGTAAAAATTTCTAAACACGAAGATATGTTCTGTTCTGTTAGGTATACTATGTAAGGCCACATATATATGTATGTAAATTGTCACTTCGTTTGTTCGATTTTATCATAGTTTTATATTGCATTAACAAACACTGTCATCAAGAAAAAAGATAGAAAGGCAACATTGTAAAAACCGTGTTTTTTGTACTGTATTGTAATTGTCACTATTAAGTTAAGTAAATATACAAAAGTAAAAATTCTGTCACAAGATTCCTATATGTTCCGTGAAATAGAAACATTGATGAACAACATGGATTTGATTATTACTATCACGTGACAAATATAACAAAACACCTCTCTTCTAAATTATTCTGAATTATATCAGATTATACTATTACAAAGGTGAAAAATGGCTAAAAAAATGAATACGGGTCCGATTGGATATTTTCACATTATTTCCTATGATTATTTCTAGTAGACCTAATACAATCACGAAAACAAACACGCTTATTGGTCGAAAATGTCACATATCAAGACCATATAGCAACACGTGACGGCGAACAATAAAGACCAGTATGTACTTCCCTTGCCCCCTGTGTCGTCCCGCTAGCCATTTCTCATCTTTGTATTAATGTATGCATATTCCCTAGAACGAGAGGAATTCAAGTTATTCAAATGCAACTATGTGCTCATTAGAATTTGTTACTGAATGTATACATTAAACACTAAAACTATGAATAAATGTTAAATTATGGTCGTTAATGTGTATTTATTTCATTATATTCTTGCTCCGATATTCGAATGAAGATACTTTCGGACATTTATAAGTGCAAGAAAAATGATTATTTTGGATTCATTAAACAAAGTTTTATGAAAAAGATTGTTATATACATAATTATAAAAATTATTTTCCTTATTAAATATATCTATTCCCTTTCATACATATATGTATAAAATTTCAGCCATTATACAAAATACAAATGGCAGCTATAAATTTTAATGAATTCATTTTACATTGGTAGATTTGCTTCGAACATGTCAATCTGTCATCTAAACTCTAGTACTTAAACGATACTTTTAAGTACTAAATTTGTATTTAAACACTCAATGAATAGGAATTATTTTATAAATAATAGTGGAGAACTATAGCATATTTATTTAGGCACTATCATCAGAAACGTTCGGCTCATAATCAGGATCATCATCATCATCATCTTCTAGGTCCAAATCATCAAGATTTTGAAATAGACTTTCGTCTACTTTAACAGAATCTAAGAATTTAAAAAAGCAATATTATATTCTTTATAAATATTTTGCATAGCTCAACTTAAATTAAATAAATTAAGCATTTTAAAACAATACCATCATCCAAAAACTTCAGATCAGACTGATCCAATGTTTTATCAGTCATAAATAATTCTCTACCAGTTAATTTTTTCCCTTCTCTCTCAGCCATTTCTCTTCTTTTCGTGTATCCCATTTCTTCATCAAACTTTTCTTTCCAACTTAAAAATGTTTCAACCGTAACTCGTGTTCCCTCAAACTTTTTCTATGACAATGTAAGAGCTTTTTATATTACAAGATCAATGAGATTAATCTTATTTTAATATTTTTACAATGTTAGATATATCTTACTCTTTCTGCTTCTTCCTCTTCCCTGAGTTTTTGTGCCGCACTCTCTTCTCTTTTCAATTTAATTTTATCCCACTGTACATTAAGCCACTCCTGAGCAGCACTAACTAAAGTAAATACCATGACCATTCCAAGGTTTTCATTCATTTGTTCCATCAGATGTTCCTTCAATTTATCAGCATTTCCTTCTTCAAAGTTTTCATGTTCTTCTATCGATATAAGAAGTGACTCATCTGGATATTTTTCAGTATATGTAAATTCCAATGAACAGCTGAGACCATTCCCAGTACCTGGTTCATACTCTTCAGTTTTAATAGGTATGGAAAATGTATAAAATGGTTCTACAGCTAAAACTGAAGAAATGTTCCATTTATAAAAATCTCAAAATTAGAACTGCAGAACATTATTTAACATTTATTGTTTCAATAAATTAACTAAGAAACGAACAAACAATAATTATATGTAATTCTTTATAAAGTAATATATTTTACAATATATAAACAAATTTGTAGGTTATTGGACATTCCATGCATACTTTCCAATTCTCCACAATAAATTGACTCCAAAGCTTCGATCTCATTGTGTTGCTCATCTTTATAATCCATAATGATTAAAATAAAATGAATTGTTAAAAATGTTTTATGTTGCGTATTTAATTAATTCCTTGTAATAAGTTACATGAAATCATGATAAAATCGTAACAAGTTGTGAACCGGTGGACGGCGCCGTAGCAGTGTACGACAAACAATACCATTGACTAGGTAGATACCTACAGAATAGACATCACAATATGAAACTTTGTATCTCACTTTCGGAAATACCGATCTGCTACGGCGAACGTACGAATTACATTCAAAATTCAATTTTTGAAAGCGATAAAGACAATAACTATGAAAAGATCTTAATCTGTTAAACGTATAAATGCAAGAGAGATATCTAATACACTTTTTATTCTATGTTCTATTCCATTCAATAAAATAGAAGGCGATAAATTGTAATGTTGATTTCTATGAATTTACAGCAATTTATAATCAAAGCTAAGAACAGTCGTGATATCTCATAAACCGTAACAGTAAAGCAAACGCAATCAATAATTCAAACCGAAATAAATATCTGTGCCCAGCTTTAAACAAAAACGCGAAATTTAAATTACTTCGCGACGTAAATTACTTCGTGATTTAACCCGTAATTAGTTTCTCGGAACATTAATATAAATCCACGATTTGCCCAATATAATGATGAACTTTAATAATCAATATCATTTCATTAATATAAAAAATCGCAAAGTGCAAGAAGACCTATCCTCGACTAATAAATAAGACACATAAAAAGTACGTTACTATTCATGGGTATAATAAATATCCGAGGTTAGTACGTTCGTAAAAAATTCTAAATAATACAACTAGTCATTCGTGTCGATTCGGACCTTTTGTACTACGACATGATTAGATGACCAGAGGAACGGTAAAGTATGCGACTCACAATTCGATGTGAATCGTTGACATCGATGCTGCAGTAATTCAAAGGAGGTCATCACCAAGGTAATAAATAAATTATTATCATCAAGAAGATATCATCGAATCCCATGCAGCAATGTGACAAATTAGAAGTTGTATTAACGTCTATGTATATGTCTCTATTCTCTCAAAGTCGTTTCTGTAGTGATGATTTGCACAAAAAAAAATCAAAATTTTAGAATTAACGTATAGAACTGAACCGATTGTACCAAAATGAAGCAATAATCAGACTTAACATTTTTATTGGTAACACTAAATATCATATTTAACCTTAATCATATTATTTTTAATCTTTCTATCTATTAAATCAACTTTATTTAATCAAATAAAATTATCACTGTATGTATATGTATATACACTAAATTTCTAAGCATAGATATTCTATCTTTTAAATCCATAAATTGTTTTCATGGGAACTATATTATTGCGAGTGTTATTTTGTGACTAGTATTAGTAAACTAAGTAAACATTGAGCGTTTATTTTCTACACACATCTTATTTCTTTTTTCTTTATTTGAAACATAATACACTCGCTATTGAAAACATATCTTTTCTGGGAATTTGACGACTCTTATTCGTGCACGCTTGACTTACCTGCGAGTCTTCCACTCCCCACTCCTCGTCAACCGAAATTCGCCGGTTAACCCGCCGCGCGGGGTCTAGTTTAGTGTCGAATATCAGAGCGATCAGGTGTGTTTCCGTGTCACTCTGTAACAGATACATATTTCTCTTCCATTACGTGGCATTTTCGTAGTCATTTCTTCATCGCTTAAAACTACCCTATTGTAAACTTCGTATAATTAAGGTATTCTTTTGTTTATTGCTTTATTATAATCTATTAGGTTAAGTAAATTACGATTAAATTAGTGCGTAAATGTTTTAAGTATAAAAGATATTGAGAGTTGAGTGTAAACAATTGTAAATCAAATCCACTTCTAGGTCTGAGAGGCCGAAATAAAAATAAATTATTATCATTATTATTATAATAATGTATTATTTGATTATCTTCTTTTTTTTTATTGCTTCTTTTGCTATCAGATTTCCTGGTAACTCGTATAATAAGCTTTCAGGACTATTTTAACGTTGACTATTGTTTTATCTTTAAATAATGTATTCTTTTTATGTATTTATTTTAATGCTTTGGTTTTCTTTTATGAAGACCAATGAATTGCTTGATGGCGAAGAAAACTTCGAAATAGGAGAGGGACTGTGAAATTCAAAAGGTCGTCACGGTCCATTAATGATGAATTCAGGAAAGAATTTTTGTTATCACGAATATTGTAATACGAGTATTACAAGTAATCGTGTGAATTACTTATTGGATCATAAAATCACGAAGTATCGGATCCTGTGGAAGGTTGTGCCTTTCTAATGGTGCGTAATCAAGTAATACATATTTCTTTTTAACTGAATGATTTTATTTTTAAAAATAATTTCCATTGTATTTAATTTTGTCCTAGCGCACGAAATCCAAGTGAACAAAATAAATTTGCATTTAAAACATAATTGTTATCGTCGTTATCAACATAGACGCGTAAGTTAACCCTGCTGCAATCTTCGAGTTTCTCATATCTTGATGTCGCTTTCGTTCCAATCGGAAAAGAGCTTTTAATGTTTTAAGAAAATAATTAGAATACCATTGAAATTACATACGTTAACGACGATTGTCTCTTATTTCCTACACACTTAAGAATTTTTGTAACGATAGAAAAATAAGATTCAGTCGAAAATAACCTAAAGAGCGCAGGAGGGTTAGGTATCCAATGCAATAAAAATTGAATACATTATATATATAATGAGAACAATGATATTAATAACGCGTCGCGAGAGCATTTTCTGAATTAATTTTAAATTAATTTAATGAATATGACTTGGCAAACATATGCATATCGTGACAGTAAAGATTTTACAAGAATTTTGCCAACAAAGGAATTGCTCAAACTTGGTTAAATTGCATTTTCGATATGATCAGTTTGGAATTGCGATTTGGATATGAAACTCCTAAGTTTCCTGATGGTAACACACGAGCATTTGTGATACTGCTTCATAGATTATTATTTAAATCGTCGCCGACGATATTATATTAATTATACAGGACGATTTCGAAGTGCAGGTATACTTAAACTTTCGAATTTCGTTTTCTCGAAAACGAACCCTCGTACGAAAAAGATCAATTGTATATATTTAACTTACTTTCCCGGGCGTACCGCGACTTTAAAATCATCCTGTATGTAGTAAATAGTATAAGCAACATTACGCTATAACATTCGTCACTTATATTGGAATTCTTGTCTCCCTAAATCAGTCGATTGAACGTATTGTAAATAAAAAAAACACTAAAACTAAGCTAATAACGATTAGCTAAAATGACACACTAAAGTGACACACTCGCTTAAAAATTGTTCATATCCGAATTTCGCACTTGACTGAAATATCAAATAGACCTACCTTACTCTATCAAATACAAAAAAGATACATACGTTCGGATTTTCATTGGACGAAATAAATATTAATAATTGCGTTATTCGACGGCATGCCTGAATCTCTCTCAGATTACACTACTAAAGGGTTAAAGATAATAAATGTGGCAACACTCGCGTGAAATATCTAATGCGATTATACATATGTATATAAGAAAGTATATGTATATAAGAATACGCGAGGTTAACTACACAAGTATTACATAGAGACGAAGCTAGCATTACGTCCTAATTTTATATTAACCTAGGATTGAAACGGCCTATATGAAGTATGAGACCCGTTGGATTGTGGCGTACGAAATAAAGGAACGGCTGGTCCAATTTCAATCTCGGTTTCTCTTCTGATCTTTCTACAGTTCTCATTCGTTCCTTGAACGAAACTGTACGATAGTTTGCCGGCTCCATATTGACTGTCCGTCTTATTCTACGGAATGTTTGTTCGTCGATGTGTCGAGAATTTCGTAAAGTAGGACTTGCTGGATAAATTTCCATGTGATGTCGTCCATTAGCGATGTTTTCGTCGCCGCACGTACTGAACAGATTCATCTAGAAATGACCAATTATAGAGTAAGTAGCATATATAGAATATGTTTACCGTGAATTAAGAAAATTTAGAGAAACAACTTGAAAATATTCCATCGCAAGATTTTTTCGAATAAATTGAATTAATGAATTTGTATTGCGTTTTTGCTTTAGGCTTATACTCTGATGATCTTATAGGACTGACTTAGGAACTGGTGCATCTAATTATTAATTTGTCATTGATTTGTAAACCTTGGCAAAATCCACGCACTGCCATTACGGAGTGACTAAAGTGTTTAGACACTTATGAACGACAGAGTAAGTGTTCGACAGAGTGTGCGACACCCTGTGTAACTACCAGTAACCTGTAGAATTACCTGTAAAACGTCGGACAAGAAGAGACGATTTCCAATTCCATTGATCCCTTTGAAGTCAGCGTTAGTCGAAAACAGCTGATCGAGTCCCATCCTCTTCAAAGCAGCAGTAGCGTTCACAATGGACCGATGACTAAATTTGGGTACTTGTAATTCCAGGCTCGGTCTAGGTATAAGAACCTTCAGCAGCTTATCCCAAGCTCCATCTTGAAAAGCTTCTTTGATAAACCTTTGTTCCAGTCGATCCAAAGTATCGCCGGGTGCAGCATGACCTTGTTGACCTGGTACGAGAAATATGGTCGAAACGAGCTTATCCACACTTCCGATAGCACTAACAGTCGCATCCAAACTGGGCTCATAACCGGCAAGAACGTTCGATCGCCAAACGGTAGCCGGAACGGGGATCAACTTCCTCAATCTATGAGCAGCTGAGACAGCGAAGTATAATTCCCCGTCTCGACCTGTTGTACTCGCGGAACTTGTGTTGCAATCCGTCTGAAACACATTTGCTGAAATTGTAGCCAGTGGTGATCTTAGAGGAACCGTGTTGCTCTTCACGAAATCCTTTATTCTACCTCCAGTCTGTTTCCTAATCAATAGATTGGTTCGGCGACGCACGAGATCACTGATAGTAGCGAAATTTACTTCGGTCACCAATCCTTCGTAAAATTGTTGAGCTTGCTCCTTATAGAACGGCAACAATCTTCTCACCTTAGCTTTATCCGCAAATAATTCGCGGACAAACGCCGCGTTCGCGATACCTTGGTGCCTCGCCAAGCTCACCGTGTCCGTTACGTTCTGGAAAATAAGATGCGGATTGAAAGTGGCCACATTGTCGAGTCCAAGTATTTCGTTCATCTGGTCTGACGTTGATCCTCGAGCACCGAGGAAGATCATCGCCAACAGGCTAGTCATGCCAAACGGTGAAAGAACGAGCGATCTTCCAGTACTCAATCCGCTGTTCGCCGCGACCCAAAACTTAATTGCTAGTTCGTTACAAAGCCTCGAAAAATTGACAATATCGGCACTCGCGTTGCTCGTGCTAGTATCCAATCCGCCGACGCTTTTCGAGGCATTTAGGGAAACAGTCGATTCCGCTTTGTTCACGGGAGTCGATTGATAATTTGAGGGATATTTTGTCGAACTCGCGTCCACCATCGTCGACATTGTCGATGTCGATGCCTCGAAGTGTTTCGTCGACGTGGTAGATCCCGTGATGAATTCTGTCGACGATGGAATTACTTGGTGCAACGATATCCGCTGCCACGTGTGCTGATTTATGCTCGTGTTATTCGTTTTGCTCTGCAACATCGAACTTGGCGAATCATTCATCTTCTGATTTATGTGCGACTCGTTATTGTGTAATTTACTTGCGGCTCCCAACAACTGCGTTCCTATTGAGTTATTCATACTGACATTACTCTTGTACGAATATATTTCAATGGGAATTTTTGTTTTGTTCTCCGATCTGTTCCAATCTACCGAATTCATCGTGCTACCTTTGATCTCGTTTGATTCCTCCGTGATAGAATTTAGAGCAGTGGTTATCGATCCAGGAGTAGACGAGACAATGGAAGATTTCGTATCGCTGAGAGGTGTCGTGGTTGTGTTGTTCAAAATATTGATCTTATGTTGATTCTCGGGTGTATTAGTCAAAATATTCATTTTATTAATATTTAAAATATTAAGTTCGTTCACATCTGTGTTATTCAAAATGTTCATTTTATGTTGGCTCACGATTGTATTATTCGCAATGTTAATTTCTTGCTGGTTCACGGTTGCGTTGTTCAAAATGTTCGTTTTATGCTGATTCGCGGTTGCGTTGTTCAAAATGTTCGTTTTATGCTGACTCGCGGTTGCGTTGTTCAAAATGTTCGTTTTATGCTGACTCGCGGTTGCGTTGTTCAAAATGTTCGTTTTATGCTGACTCGCGGTTGCGTTGTTCAAAATGTTCGTTTTATGCTGACTCGCGGTTGCGTTGTTCAAAATGTTCGTTTTATGCTGACTCGCGGTTGCGTTGTTCAAAATGTTCGTTTTATGCTGACTCGCGGTTGCGTTGTTCAAAATGTTCGTTTTATGCTGACTCGCGGTTGCGTTGTTCAAAATGTTCGTTTTATGCTGACTCGCGGTTGCGTTGTTCAAAATGTTCGTTTTATGCTGACTCGCGGTTGCGTTGTTCAAAATGTTCGTTTTATGCTGACTCGCGGTTGCGTTGTTCAAAATGTTCGTTTTATGCTGACTCGCGGTTGCGTTGTTCAAAATGTTCGTTTTATGCTGACTCGCGGTTGCGTTGTTCAAAATGTTCGTTTTATGCTGACTCGCGGTTGCGTTGTTCAAAATGTTCGTTTTATGCTGATTCGCGGTTGCGTTGTTCAAAATGTTCATTTTATGTTGGTTTACCGCTGTGTTGTTCAAAAAGTTAATTTTGTGTTGGTTCGCGGCTGTGTCGTTCAAAATATTAATTTTATGTTCATTCATAGTAGCGTTGTTCAAGATGTCAGTTTCGTGTTGGTTCATGGTCGTGTTTTCCGAAATGTTGATCTTCTGTTGGTTCACGATCGTGTGAACCGTATCATTCTTTGTCTGCTCTTCAGTTTTCTTTAAAGGACTTTGCAGTACGATTTTGTCTGTCGAACTCTCCACTGGATGCTCCTCTGCGTTAGACAAATTCGCGATGACCGTGCTAGATTCGCTCAAGTTCTTCGACAATTCATCTATCACGGTTTGATACGTAAATGTTTGTTTGTCTTGTTCTGACGACGTTTCTGTCGTGTATTCCAGGTATGTTGTAGAAGTTTTATCATTGTTCTGCGATGCTCCCTCGGTAATATTTTCAGCATTCGCAATTATGGTTCCTGTGTTCGTACTTGTCGAAGCCTCGTTACTCGATATTGTCGTCTCGTAAGTCGATGTCTGTTCGTTAAACGCGTTATTCGCGAAGGAAGTTGACATTCCATCCGCGACGGTAGTTTTTACAGTAGCATCAAGGATAGACGACGCTACCGAAGCTGTCGTAGTTTCCGAAGCGGTGGACAGTTCGTTTTTTAATAGCGAAGATTCAATTTTCTGCTGGTCGGTAAACAGGTCGTCCTTTGTTGTCGACGTTCGATAAATTTCATTCTCGTTTGTCGAACCTTTCTTCGTTGTATCATTCGTGCTATCCTCGTTAACCGATGTAGACAACTCCGAATTTGACGTAACAGTCTCTGTTGAGTTGAGCTTCTCAGCAGATGACACTGTTGTCTCCTTGAATACAGCTTGTGTTTCGTTTGTCTTCGAATTGGATAAATAAGAATCAGCGATGAGCGAGCTCGCTACAGTGTTAGGTAACAAATTCTCCGATAAATCGGTCGGCAAGGTGATTGTCTCGATAACGGGTCTATTCGTTGCAGGTGAGGCGGTATGAAGCATATTCTCGATAAGCGCTATCGCTTGTAAAAAGTTGGAACTAGTAACCGGTGTCTCGTTAATATTCGTCGTTGGCTCTGTCGCATTTGTCTGAACACTCGATACGTGTATGCTATCAGATTTCGTCGAAATATCCGAAACGTTTGCCGTTTTATCGAGCTCTGTCGTACTCGTCGATACAATCGGCGCGGATATAGTAATGGAAGAAATCTTCTCGTGATCAGGATCGAACTTCATCGTCATTTCGCTAGACGATTCCTGTATACGTTCTTCGGACGTATTATTCGCATTTTCTAGTCGGTTATCGTTGGTCGTGGAAGGATACGTTGTAATTTCAGAACTGTCATTACGTTTTCCCTCGTTTTCGCTGGGAATCGACTGGAACCCGAAAGAGGAAGATAACACGGGAGAAACGTCGTTGGAGATTTGACTGATCACGTTTGATAAAGAATTCACCAGCTCCATAGATGGAGAAGATTTTTGAGGCTCGATCGGCTCGCTTAAGCGATCACTTGGTTTGGTTACCGTGTCGTGTATCGTCGTCGATGGTACCAATGTTGTTGTTCTATATTTATTTGTACTTGCAGGAGTACTCGTGGACGATACAAAAGACTGCGGTGGCAATTTCGTAAAAGATACAGAAAATTGTAACGGCGGTTTGGTAAACGGTAGAGAAGACTGCGATGGCAATTTGCTAAACGGTTCCTTAGTGTCTTGAACTTGATTCGCTTCCATCATGGACGGTGTCTGCGTTTTCAATGGAACTTTATCGTATTCCTGGCTCGAAATATCGGTCGTTGGTTTCGTTTTCGTTTGTGTTACCAACGAATCGGTCTGATCGGTAACAGTTTCATCGATGTGCGATGTATTATATTTTGTCTCTAACGTTTCACTCGTCGTTAGACCGATGTTATCGTGACCGTTTTTGATGGACTCGCCTATGGTCGATGAAACAGAAACGCCGATGGTTGTTGGTTTTGTAATAGCACTTGTGGACGCCAGGTTTTCTTCGTCCCGAACGTTAGATCCGTAAGTAGTAGTACTTTCTGACAACGGTGACGCTCCAGTCACCTTATGCAAAATGGAACTCTGAGTGGTATAACGATTGTGAGCCATCAATTCGACATTTTGCTCAGTCGTGATGACAGATACCGGGATCATTAATTTCTCCGTATAAGAGATAGTCGTAGGTTTCGTAGCAATCGTCGGCAGCGTTCCGTTCTTCTTGGTTTGCTCGTTTCGTTCGTTCGTGTATTTGTTAGTATCGTCGGGTTTCGCCTGTGCAACCGTTTCACTTACGTCAGGCTTGAACGAATCGGAAACCGAATCATTCTGTTTGTGTATGACATAGCTGGCAGATGACGACGGTTTCGATGTTGGCTTTTCGACGTAGTGGCTTTCTTCGACCTTATTTCCGTATTTGTCACCGGCTAAAATAGCTGGTAAAATATTGCTCCACTCGACGTTTACGTTTTCTGGGATCATCGGGTGCGAGCCAGAGAGCGTCGATAACGGTTTATCCATAGCGCTTTTCAGTACGCTTTGCACTTTTTCCACCACGTCCATAACCTAGAAAAGATTTTAACATAACGTTACCTCGTTACTTCTGCAAAACTAAGAAACGCTAATACGTTTAAAGACCAAGCAGTGAGATAAAACTTGGCGTAAATGCACGATATTAGGCACTGAAAGACGTAATTAAAGCAAGTCAAATATTATTTCGTCGATGTAAAATACGTACTAGGATAGGCGATTGTTCGTTAGAAGTCTATGCTACATAAATCATAGAAGCGACAAGAAAGATATAAATCTTAGAATCGAGACGGATAACGAAAAGATCTTAAACAAATTGAAGTAATTTCTTTCAATTTTCGCTCTTGTACTCGAATGTTTCTTACAAGACAGCCGAATTTTCTATTTTCTCGGTTTAACCAACCACCCATTCTAAGAACTCGGATCTTACTTTACCTTCTTTCCTCCCGTAAGTATATCCTCAGCTTTTTGGGGCTCTTGAATCTCCGTGTTAGAATGATCCGGACCTCCACTCGCGATCAAAGCTTGAATCTCTTGCATAGTCATTTGCCTCGTGATCATATCGCCTCTCTCGTTGTACGTGTAAAATTGAAATCCATCGGGTTTCAGCAAATTCGCCGGAGACGGTGGCAATCGATGAAAATTGACTGCGACCGAACCAGGTGACCTGTTGTTTCCCGTTGCACGAACAACCTGGTTCTTCGTATCTTTCGATTCTTTAGATATGCCCGATATTGCCTGATACGTGTCCGCCCTAGAAATTCCAGGGAATTATAAATACGTGAAACTTCTGCAAACTAAAATCATCGAACGAGTCGCAACCCATTGGAATACCGATTCTTCTCGAGCTAAACGTGATGTATACCAGACCATCGGCAGACCGTCTGGCACAGGATCGTGCATGCCAATTAGTCGAACTTGTCGTTATCGTGCTTCGTACGTACATTTCGTACCTACGAAATACATTAGACTCTTGATTACCCGATCAACCGAACGAACGATTATTGGAATATTAATTGGCGCGAGATTCGGATGTAAATGAAAACGTTGGATAACGCGAAAGTTCTCTTGTAAGAGAAAATCTGGGATACGGAAATAGAAATTGGAAGAAATTGTTACGTTTTTATTCGAACGTTTTTCTTTCCCTTTAATATCGATATTTATAAAGTGGTTATTCCAGTATGCAAAGAATGTGTGTCACGATCAAATCGTACAATCAGGCTTTTACCGTATTACAAAATTGCAATCTCAACTTAATATCCAACGAACAGTATTTTTACGAACGACTGTACGTTTAAGCGAACTAAAGACACACGATGAAAACGTAAAAGGAAAGACAGACATATAAAGCGAGGTAAAAATACAGAGGAAACGTTAACGGTAATTTCGCTATCGTTTAATCGATCTACTACTTGTTCTTCGCGATATACATTTCGCAATATCGGCTGCGGAACTCGGTTAAGAATCTTTCGCATCTCTCTTACGATCTTTACGAGCTTTTTACTCCTCCGTTTCTAGCTTGCTTTCTTAGATTCTTTTCCAATAACGATCTCGAATCGCTACATCGGCTATTCTACGAAGCAAGCACGCTCCTGGTTACAGCTCCGTCGTTATTTATCGTTGTGCTTCCCGTCGAACGTTCGATTTATGCACGAAACACTGAAATACTGACCTAGATTTAAAATATTTCATAGGCAGCAACACGGTTGTGGTGCTTTCTGCAAGTGGGCGTTCCGAAGCCAGGCTGAAACTTAAACATGCCCACAGCACGAGTGTCGTCAAAGTAGCATGAGACGATTCCAACGACATATCTCTAACGCTTCTCCTCTTGTACGATCTGCAATCAATAAAGGACAAATCATCAAGGAGTGATTACCGACTAGCAATAATACGGTAGACCGGTGCATGCCAGGTCATAGTAAACACCATCTATATGGTAGAAAAATGATCGTGAAAATAGATCGGCAGAAATAAACGGGGGACGAGTCTGTTTTCTTTTAGGTGAACGACCCTACGGTTCCTTGTTACCCTCTTACGGATCATCGCCTTAACACGACGACCGGTTCTCCGTCGTGTTATAAATCGCTGAGTAAATCGCGATTTACTCGAGCGCAGCTTGCGAACGACTTTTATCGAAATTCACTTGAAACCTATCGATCGAATTACCAAACGGTGATCGTTAATCGTATTTAATTGTTTCACCGTAAGCACGTAAACTTTCCAACTAAATTAAAGCTTTCTTCGCGGCTAATCGACGTGTAACTACCACTGATAAAAAAGGAGTAAAATTAAAAAGAGAATATATATTCGATCGTTTGCGTCGAAAGGAAGAAACTTATTCCACTGGATCCGGAATATCTGGATTTGCCGAGATATCGGGATACACCGGCGTGTGTCGTACGAAGAAAGGAGCGTACAACGAGACTACGAGGAAACGTGCGATCGACGAATGTCGACGACGATGCCGAAAATCTAGAGAATATGATAAACGAGATGTTTCGTCGAACGAAAACCGCGTTATTCGCGCTCTTAAGCGCGTTAATTGTATTTCTTCGCCGTTCGAAGATATCCTGCCTACCGAATGCTCCCTTCGGCTAACGTTCATCGTATCTATATCGACGATTGTTTCTAGTACAGTGGCAATATCGTAGCGTTTAACGAACAGCGATCGATCGAGATACTTATGCAGCTCTGTATAAGGGTAAATATCGTGACGATAAATTGAACTACCTCGATTAAAAACGTGATTTAAAGGAATACTCTTGCGAAGATTAACACTGCGTGCGTTCGACTTTTCCCTCTTCCTTTTTCCCCGCTGTCTACGTTTCTTTTTTCTCTTTTTATCCTTCGCCGTGTCTTCTTGACAGCGCGCGCGCAGATCTGTATTTCTTCCCGTATCACCTGCCGTCTCTACTGTCTTCTACCTTGGACGAGCGCGTACTACGTGCTCGAATCCTCGGTTAAGACGAGTGCATCGGACTGAGAAAGAAAAGCGATCGAAGAGGGGGAACATAGTCTTCGAACGAAAAGATGGAGAAAGGGTGAACTTGGAGAGTGGAGATGTTGGTTGGAACGGTTTACGCGGGGGGACAGACGAATGTCGGAATACATGGGAATATATATCGAAAGAAAAAGGAAGAAAGAGAAAAGAAGGAGGGATAGTATGAAGTTGAAGGACCAACGTGTAGAGCTGAGTTACGCGGGTAAAAGGAGATGTAAATCGAACGTGGAATAAAAGATCGCAACCGATGCTTCGAATTCGTGGACCGAGCGATGCGTCGTTTTTGCATTTCCAGATAAAAGCTGCGTGTTCTTTGTTTAGAAAGAAAATCGAACGAACCATTTGCTCGTCGTCGATCGATCATTGCCACGATATTATTATATTTCGTGATAAATATGGTCGTGACACCGTTCTTCCACGTTTCTTCTACGAACTTCCATTTCTTTCTACGAAAGCGATATCAACTTCTCTTTTATTTTTTCATTTCGTAATTCGTTACAACGAATGTAATATCCTAATGTATTTAAGCCAGTAAAATGATATTTAGCCGGAAGAAATTAACAGCGATTAACGGTACATCGATTGAATAAGTTGCCTTCACGATGATACGTAATTTGTAACGAAAGAAATTTTGTAGAAGCTACTTTCGTCGAAGTACGTAGACACGCGTCGCTGTCTTCGTTTTTCTTCTTTCTTCGTTTTTTAAATGTTCATATCGTGACAAAAGATGCAAAATACTTTGTTTTTATATATGTATGCATGTATCTTATTTCTATCTATTCTACGATGAGAAACAGTGTGACGAGCGCTTAACGGTATTCGTTTATTCTACTTCCCTTTCCACTCTGTTCTCCGACTGTTTTAAGAAATATTCGACCGACTTGACCTGCTGCCCAAAAATCGCGGAAGTATCACAAGAGTAGAATGACATATAGGAAATACAAACGAGATTCTACAAATTCTATCTATGTAATTTTGCCTGTGGTACCACGATCGTTCGTCATCGGTCATGAGTTGAAATTCCACGATCATAGCAGAAACCGTAATTGTTTATCGCATAGTTGAAATTCGGGATAACTTGATATTCTTAACGCGTACAGGTTGCGACGAATATTGGAAATAAATAATTTCGCGGTGGCAGACAAAATTGCCATCGTAAAAATACCGCGCGATCTTATTGTTCTGCTTTTTCCCAAATTCCACGTCGAAAAGATATATGTGATTCGTTAATTAAATTACAAAGAGAGAGCAGGAGTACGTAACAGACACAACTGTATGAAAAAGCACGAGTGTCGACGATCGATCGAATGGTCGAATGAAAAATGCTTTGGATCAATCTAAGGGAACTTCGCGTCATACTCGATATCGTGGAAATAATTGAAACGATATAGTATTCCGATTTGAGACGTTTTTCTATGGTAACGCTGTAGTATTTCGTTTGCGTTTATATCATCCATATTATTCGGATATCGCGTCAAAATTACAAGACCGATAGAGAAGAGCAACCGAACACACGCAACATGAACGTGCAATCGAAGAATTCCGGAGAAGAAACGCGTTTCGTCGATGGAAGCGAATACAGGGGCACTTGGAACGTACTAGGAATGGAGGGAATTGGCAAATTCGTTCTGCCGCACAGTTAGTATAGCTACCAACAAGTATTACAGAAGGATCTCGAATGCGTTACTTTGCACCTTCCTCTATGAATCGTTGGGGAAAAGAAAGAAGCAGAAGGTAAAAGGCGCTGTAGGAAGAGTAAAGAAAAAGAAAAGAAAAAAAAAGGAAAGAAAGAAAGAACCATAATAGGAAATAAAACGCAGGTGGTGAAGTGTAAATAATAAAAGAAAAAGCACGAACCAGAGAGCATCGTGTGCGTATGCGAGATACGAATGTTATCCTTTGCGGAACTCGGAATTAAGTCTTCTAAGATGTACACGCTAACTTCAATAATTGTGTCTAAGAAGTATGTATGTACAGCACATGTACTGGTTTTTGAGCACGACATTGAGCATTTCTCGCGCGTAAGTCGACACGTACCGTTACGCGACCATTTTCGTCGCTTCGTGTTCTAGAGTTTGTACGCGTTTTTCATTTACCCATAGGCTTAAGAATCCCGGTCTTAAAATACATACATTCACCATACAAATTTCACCAACGCCGTACATACATACACATGCGCACACGTTTATTCTTTCTCTTCTTCTCTCTCTCTCTCTCTCTCTCTCTCTATATATATATATATATTTTTTTTTTTTTTTTGTTTATTTAAAGAAACGAGTCACGTTCTTTGTTTTCGATTTCCGAAAACATTTTTGCGAAGGGACAACCAAACATGTCCTTTTTTTTATAAATATTATATTCGTGTGATAATACCTTAAAGACGATAAAACAGATCTTCTGATAAATAATGTGAAAACGGAATTTCTTCGAGATATATATATATATATGTCTATATATATATATATATATATATATATATATATATGTATATGTATATATACATATCTTATTTTTTCTACCGTTAGGTCACTTGCTCCTTTAGTCCCCTTCTTCTGCAATTCAGCCTCATTTCAGTAAATGAACCGAATCTATTTGCTCGTAATAGATGCCATTTTTGAAGGAGAGTTTCGCGACGGTACATTTCATGGGCATGGTAGCTTATATTTTCCTCGCCTACAAAGAATAGATGGAATTTGGTCGCAAGGTGAATGTAAGGACAAACGATATACCTTTAACGATGGATTAATTTTTCGTAGCCATAACTGGGACTACTGCAGATTCCCTGACAGACGGTTGGTAGAACACGTTCCATTCCCGAAGATATTTTAGAGATTAAAGATAATGATAAAACTCGTCGATCTGTAGGTTGTCCCGTTTTGATCTGTTATTAGAGATCAGTCATAGATTATTAATTTGCTGTATGAAAAAGTGATTGAATGATTTCAAGAGGGTCGTAACTTGTTGTAAATCATCTTTTTTTTGTAGGTGGACACGTACAGGACATGCGAAGGTCACCGATATTTTGTTTTAATAGGAACATATAATTTTTAATGCATCGATCAATGAAGGTCGTTGGTAAATTAATTTTTTAACACAAATGAATTAACATGTTTTTTTATGGGGAATAAGGAGTTGCGTCAATCAACGCATAGATAATATATGATCTCATTTAAACATTTACACTATTATAGCCACACGTATTAGAACTTGGTGATATACAGGTTTAGTACAGGTTAAATGCTTTTCGTTACTTCCATTATTTTACTCGCATCATATGTGTCCTATAACGTAAAAATATTAAATAAAGTAAAATTCCTTAGATTTTTCCAATAAATGTAACGTGTATATGTTGTTTACAAAGTGTATTCACGTACAGAAAAATTAATTAAATCCGTGCTTCTCGAAACCATTCAATTATGTCCCAATCATTCTTCTGAAAGCAACTAATTTGCAAGTAATTTGCAGTAATTGACTAAAATAAAATACTACGGATATTAAAATTAAAAATAAACTACACTGCGTCATCGTATCTTAAAAAACTTACTTCACTTGTTAAGGGAAGGGGGGGCTAAGAAAGAAAGAAAAATATGTCTTTCGTTAAACCAATATCTTTTAGATATCAAACGTGCATTAAATACGGATTGAGACCTGGTGGAGCAACATTACGCACAAACGATCGAAACGAATTTCTTATTCCCCCTACGTGCTACGATGCAGGCATTGGAATTTTTAACCCATGTAAATATCATATTGTGTCCCACCAAGACTCGAAGAAGGTACATACGTCGAAAAGAAAAGTCTGTTATACGATAATTTATTAAATTTTCCAAATATTCAAAGGTACTTGAAATACCAAATACCAAATTCACTCGCTGGATACAGAAGAATTGTCAGAAGGCGTGGTCTGAGCCAACCGGAAATCGGAAAGACCTTTACGAAAATTGGTTTCCCGACAAATTTGACACAAAGTTTCTTTCAACGTTATTACCATTTTCGAATGAGTCTTTCGAACCTTGGTGGAAAAGGTGCAAGCAAAAATACACAAAAATTAAATAATTGCAAACATCGATTTTAATCATCCCTACCTCTATTTCCTTTAAGATTGACCACCTTTCGTTCAGATTGCAAAGAGAAGACTCTAACTGATGAAAGAAATAAACATTTCCAAAATCTTATCGAGAGTCTCGTTGAATTTCGTTGATTAAAACAGGAATGTAAAGGATACTTCGGAAAGAAATCAGGTTTTCAACTCTATCTTGGGCTTGTAAATGGACGTTTGTACCCGTTTATTTCTGTGACGCACATGCACGGTTAAATTACAACATATAATTAATCATTTTATACTTGATATTCGGTAAAAAAAGAGAAGTGGAAATAAAAATGTATTTACTATTTAACAATAACCTTTCTTTTTTCTGTTACAACAGTGGAAGCATCTGGTACTTGATGTACACGGTACACTACTAACAATTTTTTTGATATACACTCGGTAGTTTTACAGGCAACTATATCCAAAGTTACACGCACCTCGTGTGTTTCATTTCCTTTAAAAAATTTTAAATTTATTGGACTTGAAAGTTCTCCACAATTTTCCGCAGCTATCCATCTAGAACTATTCGTTGTCAAATTCATAGCCCACCTCTGTGGTGCATCCGAATTTAACTTTAAATCACGGTCGGAAAAATTTATACTGAACAAGACGTTTAATTTACCGCCTGTTTCGCTGATGGTAGTATCGAAGAAATAAATATTCTTGTAATTATTGTCATCTTCGATTATCGGGATATTTATCGGTAACTAAAACGTAATGAATAAACTGTTAACTTATTCGGTCAGTTTTATTTTTAACATCTGTGCTCTAAAATGTGTAATAACTTACCGTAGTAATGTTTCCCTTTTCCGTATCCATCATTTTCACAGCGTGATTATTAGTGTCAGCTACGAATATGAGACCTTTTTCTGGACATATAGCAATACCGCTAGGTTCATCGAACTATAAATTATAAAGAATTCATAAATACATGATTAAATTGATAACTATAAAACTTCTTTTATAGACAACATACTAAATAGATATCATGTGGTATTCCACCACCATATAAGGTTCTACAATGCTTAGTGGTTACATTGATTATCTTGATTTTATGATTGTAAGTGTCTGTTATATAAATAATTTTTTCTTTCGGATGCCATGCTATACCCAAAGGATGTTGAAGCTTTACCGAATAGTTTACACCGTCTAAGTCTCCATAACCATGCAGATCCTGTGATATCATGATTATCAATATTATAGTTATTGTTCGATTAATTAAAAAGAATCTTCGCTTATCGGAAATCGTTGAAATTAATTCGTATGCATTCAAACGTACCAATGGATCTCTACTTCCACCACAAATGGCGGAAACTTGTCCAGTTTGTAAATTTATACTCCTAATAGAACTGCTTTCACTGTCGGCAAAAACGGCAAGCTTTAGTTCTTCGGCAATAGTTATACCAGACGGTTGCGCTAAACCAGCCGAGTGAGGATACGAATTGTTGCGATTTTCCTCCGTGCCACTTCCTACTATCGCCAGACAAGTACCCTCATTGTATTTTCTAGACAAATTTACGAGTAAAATATACGATTCTCATTGATGGAAAGAGGAACTTTCATACATATTAAAATAATTTTGATGTTACTTATTTTTCCACCAAATAGTATCTTCCAAGAAGAGTGCCCAAATCTGATGATTACCAGCCATTGCGATTAACAATATGGGTGTGATATTGTTATCATGTTCGTGTTTATAAACAGCCAAATCCCATGGTGAAGATAAAACTTGATCTTTACCGATTTTACCTCCGACGTAATCGTGACCTTTAATACCGGTACCAGCAATAGTAATCACTATTCTTCTCATCAGGTCTATCTAAAAAAAAAAATATTAATTATACGTACATCGTATCAAAAAGACAATTTCACATTTGACAGTTTAAACTATTACCTTCCTAATTGCGTGATTTTTAGTGTCGGCTACATAAATCAAACTGCCTAACGTAGACACTCCCTGAGGTGCATTAAACTTTGCAGTTTCAAAATCTCCATCTTTGAAATCCGGATTAGGACCACCAATAATGTGTTGCACATTTCCTGTAGTATCCGTTACTAAAATTCTGTTGTGGCCTGTATCAGCGATAACCAAACTTTCTCCTTGGTCGTTTTGAAGGATCTCCAACTTACTTGGAAACAAAATGTTTCCAGTTCCAACAGGCAATAAATGTTGTGCCAATTGCAAAGGAATATCATTTGTATGAATTTTATTTAATGATCTGAAATAAGTTAACGCTACGCCTACATGTATTATCAATTCATCTCTGTGTCCTTCTCCTACAAAAACTGCAAGTAATTCACCAGTAGGACCTAATAGGGGAATAAGTTGTTTATTTGATGCGTCTCTGAAGATAATTGTCACTTATAGATGTAAATATACGATCATTACCTAACATTACTAATGTTGGCCAACATACGATTCCTAAGTAACGCCACATTGACATTTTAGTGTCATTTACAACTGGATGTTTTATATTATACCTCTGTACTGCTGACAATAATTTTTTTGAATTTTTTTCGTTTGAAAATTTTGCACTGTGTACTCCAACCTGTAGGAAAATAATGGTATTATGTTGTTCGACTATTAATCTTACGTAGTTAATTGTTGCATATTTTATAGTATATCTTGTATATACTAACAATAACAAGGCCATCCTGAATTGAAAACAGTTTCTCAAGAACATCTAAATCTGATAAAACGTGCATACAATTGATGCAACAATATGTAAAGAAATCCAAAATAACTATTTTTCCTTTAAGATGTTGATATATAGATAATCCTTCTGCGACATTGAACCATTCCAAACCTAGCATATTTAAACAAGAAGCTTGTTTGGAAATTTTATTACAAAATTACTATAACAATGTTAATATACAAAATTAATATAACAAATGACAAATATTAAATTTTAAGTATAGGAAAAAAATCATATAAAGAAATCATATATAAAGGGTGGGTAACAGAAAAAAAATAATGTAGGTACATATATGTCATATATGAAAAAATGTGAATGTTTAATCTTCTTCCAGTGACAAATCATATTGTTTATACAGATTCCTAATTGTAGTTTTATTGGCTACAGCTATTGCACCTAGAACCATTTGAGTTACATCTTTAATATCATTGTATTTATGTAATAAATCCATAGTTTCTTGAGTTGAACGAAATTCTGTCTCTTCCATCCTCAAATTGGACAATTCTTGATCAAGCATTTTTTCGTATTCTACGAGCTTGAAGTATTCGCGTATCTCCTCTTCCGTAAGTAAAATATTCTCATTATTTGAATGTAATGACCGATTCGATCTTGGTGTATTTACCCCCCTAATATTCTTCATACTTTGTTCGTTGGATTTCTTAAACATTTCACTTACAACTCTCACGTACAATACTCTTTGCCTGACGAAAACCAAAGTTATATAAAATCTTTGATATGAGAATTTCAAAATCAATAGATAAGTTAATATGACTAAATAAAATACATATTCAAATTAGCTTCTAGCATAAAGATCTTATATGCATATACAGAATTACCTTCAAAGTTTAGAAACTATAGATCATAAATAATCAACATCGCAAGTCTCATAAATTGAATAAGCTTAATGCAACTAATATTCGAATAGAATACACATATCACAAGAAACGTTCACTGTATAAAACATCGAGTAATAAAATAGACGTGAAATCATTAACCTGGTTGAAAATCGATGATCCGCGCTTCCTTCTTTGAAAACGCTTTAATATGCCGTAATACCAATTCCTCTTTTCTGTTAATCGACAATTCTAAACTTTGACTTTTGGCGATTTCCATACCAATTTCTATCAATTCTTCTACTATGTCCTGCACATTCATATTTTGTTCCATGTGTCGACTTTCGTTATTAAAATATATTCAACAATTTAAAATATCATGGAATAGCACAAACAATAGAGAAAAAGAAGTAGTACGTTATAAATAGTAGGGACAACATATTGATGGAGGGGATTCCAAACCCATGTAAGTAATTACATACGCATAGTACAGATAAGAAATTGGCTAGGCAAAGGAAAGGCAGGTCTGATTGGTTATTTCTATGAACACGCATTTTATAAACTCGCCTTACAGCGGTATAGTACTATCACATTTAATTAGAAAATTATATAGATTAATAGGTAAAACATGTATTTAAAGCCATATAGTTTGAAATAACGTATACAATAAAGTTTGTCAGTTACATAAAATATATTCTTCTGTTTGCGAGTGAAGTTCGATCTTAACATTTGTCCTTTATATACTAAATTAGTTGATTCTTTGCAGTTTATCACATAATAAAAAATGCTGGCAGGTACAACAAAAGATCAAAAAACGTTAGATGAATTAGAATGGATTCAAGTAGTACGTACTGAGTTGAATGAAAATGCTAATATCAAACAGCCGAAAGGAGCAATACAAAAATTCAAAGAGAATCCTTTAGTACCTATAGGTAACTATAACCTCCAAAAATGTAACTTCATTATTTGATTTATTTTTATGTCAAATATCTTATTTCAGGTGCTACAGCAACTGTAGCTGCTCTGAGTTATGGCTTGTACAATACTTTTATAGGGAATAGTCAAATGGCGCAATATATGATGCGTAGTCGAGTTGCAGCACAAGCTTTCACTATTATAGCTATGGTTGGTGGACTCATAGTTATGGGGAAAAAACCAAGTACTGATGTATAATTATTATACAAAGATTTATTTAATAGTAATCATGTAAAAACTGTAGTAGTCAATTATAGTCAACTGCATTTTTTATTTGATCAGAAAAGCATAACATGAAAGTTTTATGAACTATTGAAACTGTTTAAACATTATTCTTTATTGTTAGAAGTTAACAATCCAATATTATGAATATTTTTATTAAGTTCGTTTACACAAATGTCAAATAACAAATCTTATTGAAGAAATGCTTATAAGATTTTAATGAAATGAATAATGGTATGAGAGTATACTATCATTGATGCATTATTATAATATTTAAAGAGAAATTTAGGTGATATATTTAAAATACCTATTCTCGAAAAAATGCATAGGTAAGTCGGTTCTAAAAATAAAATTGGCATTTCTATATATTAAAATTTTTACAATTTTTATTCTTATATTATTCACAGGTTTTAATAACTATAATTTTTATTACTTAGCAAATATTAATATACTTGAAATAAAACTTTTATGTAGAGCAAAGTATGTTTTCTTCCCTACAAATATTATCTGTTAAAGAAGTTTCGTCATAAAGAGATCGGTGTCGTTTGTTCCTTCCATTAAAGGTATTCATTATATTTATATTTTCATTCGAATACTCGGAATGTGGAATTTGTTGAACTGTTATCGCTGCATGTTTCCATCTGACATATTCTTTAATGCATGTTTCCAATTTTTCAAACCATTCTTGAACATCTTCGTTCGAATATAATTCTATAACATCACGCACCTCGTTACCATTTAGGTGATTGATTATACGTAATTGATTTTTCGTTGATTTCGATCGGCGGACAATAGTTTCCTGAAATATAACAATATTATAATCATATTCAATATCGATAGAAAATTTAAAAAAATATAATCCAAAGTTTCATTTTACCTTGTTTACACAAATCGTACACGTAGGTTTTTCTAATTTTTCCAAACATTTCTTCGATTTCCAAACTTCAATTTGGAAACTTCGTAATCGTATCCAGCATCGTCGATTATTTATAATTGCGAATCCAGCACAAACTTCCTTATCGATGTAATACGGTTGAACAGCTAAACGACAGCAAAAATGTCCGAAAAGCGGCAATGCATTAGCTTTACTACCAAAATTGTTTAATATTAGATCATGTGAACGTATATTCTCATTGGTATCGTTAAGGGTCATCTTTGCGTAAGCCAGTAACTCAAACTGTGGTGCTTTATTAGACTCATTTTCATTTCGTAGAGCGGCCGCAAACTTTCGACCTACTGTTTTCGAAATTGAAGAATGGATAGTTCTTCTAATCTTTCTCGGAGTACTGGCAATACTAAGGTCTTCTTGCAAAATATGACTATAAACTTCTAAAGATAATTCAAATTCAGCTGATACGTTACTGAATAATAAAACGTCAGGAAAACTAATATCCGTTTGCTTTCTATCGATTGGAAAAAGTAAACTCGTGTCCTGAACTTCTGCGCCAATTCGAACTATACAAAAAATCGCGAATCTTCGATAATCTCCACGGTTTTTAAAGTAATCAGAATCTCTCCACATCAAAGGAAATCTAAGATCCGAGATAGATAATTTGCCCTTGCTATCCGAACTGCTGAAACATACAAAGTTAAATAGTATTATACGTATTTCCGTGTATTCCTATTTACAACATATTTTTATAAATAGACCAGTACCTCGTTTTCAACGATGCATCTTTTCCTCGGTTTTCTAACTCAACCATATAGGCCGACATCCGTTTGTTAGAAGTAAATAAAGCACGTGCAGCCTCCAAACTTTGTGCAGGATGTCGCGCAGCAGCCAACAATCTGGAAGAGCCTTCTTTTATTTTAGTTTCCAATTTAATTTTTTGCTCCAAATCATATTCCTAAAATGGAAAACATATTTTTATAACGTGAAAAGAACACGGATTGAGCAGAAAACATTTATAATTTAACTTATATTTTCCAGAAGAAAACAAATCAATTAACTGTAAGAAAAGATGAATGCATGTGTATCATATAGGACTTTTTATGTGTACAAACTATTTCAAAGGGACATGCAGTAAATATTTTGAAAAGCTTTAATTCATAATAATGAATTAAATGTTTAACAACCTCTTGATGTTACTTTATTCCGTAATTATCTCTTTCACTTATGCATATATATAAGAATACAAAAATACTACATGATACTAAAGAATACTAATATCTAAATATTATCTACGTATCTTTAAAAAATTCTAATTTCAATAAATTATCATGCAAGACATGAAACAAAACATCAGTTTCCGAAATTTCTCCATTCGTCAACCTTATTCCAAGGTAACATTTAAAATAACAATTATGCTAAAATTAGAATGCGCGTTATAGATTATTTAACGTGACAATTGCTAATTATGAACGACTAAAATTTTTAAACTGCAACATTTTTTTTGTTGACAATAAAAATATAAATTATTTGTATTTGTATTAAATACCTTCGAAAACAAATAAATAAGTAATGTATATAATTGAAAGAATTCTATTTATTAAAAATGCTATAATTAAATATTTAAATATATCTTTAGAAAATTTACTATGTAGAAAATTGAATACATAGCTTATTTTAATTTAGATTTTATACATATACATTTAGTCCTTTAACGGCTCTTTTAAATGTCAAACATAACCTATGCTTTTTTAACGATAATTAACAATTTTAAAATAATATTTAACAAATGTCAATAATATAGCCTGTTTCAAAACATTAAGATGAGTGAAGGCAATTTCTACTTTTTAATAATAAAATCTTGATAAAATAAGAAATATTATAAGACACAACGTATAGTAAATAATAAAATTCTATAGATAATCGAATATTTACTCACAGCTACATTTTTATAATTTCGAATACTTTCTCGTCTGCGAACTCGTGCTTGAAAATCACTTAACGAACGTAAATAATTATTTTCTTTGTTTAAACTGTCAGTTAGTGGAACGCGTAGAGAGCCAATACTTTTTCTACGTGGCGCCATTTTGAAGGTTCATTACTGTTTTTTCAGCGATTTCAAATGACCGTGGTTTCAGTCTCTCGGCTATTGCAAAAATACGTAAAGGAAAGATGTAGGGAAGGGAAAATTAAGAAAAAATTATTGCGTACAAAAAAATCAATTGACAAAGCTATAAAAATATTTAGTATAAGGTATAAAAAATGTTAAATAAACTTCTGGAAAATCTGAAACTTATATTTGGTATATATGTAGATATTCACATTCGAACAGCAATTAATATAAAGTAAGGGCATTTGTAATGATGTAGAATAATGAGCATAATTTTTTTATTTTTTATCCTTGTCCTTGTCTTTGTCCTTCTCTTTCTCTCTTTCTTTATCTTTATCTTTGTTCTGTTGAAGAGACCCAACAGCTTGGCGGACGGCTTCCGAATGAGGATCAACACCTGGTAAATTTTCCAAAACTGATTGTAAAAATGCTGGATCAGACATAACAGCAGCATAATCCTCTTCAACTTCCATTGCTTCCTCTTTGAGAGATTCAAGTTCTTCTATAAAACAAAATAGATAATAATAATGTGCACACACGTGTACGTAGATATAAATAGTTATATAAGGATAATTTTCGTACGTTGATCTTGCATAGACATCTGCATTGCAAAAGCAATTTGTTCCTCCTCGGTCATACGCGCAAAATCCGGTGCATTTATGTTAGCAGGAGTAGCAGTATTGTCAGCAGTTGAAGACGAAGTTTCTGCACCCTCGAGTGACATAGCGAGTGCGCGCTTTAACATTGCCTCTTCGTTATGTACTTCTTTAATCGTTTCTGGCGGTTTATTTGTAGCCGCTTCATTAGCTTGTGCGCGTCGCGCTTCATCCTCTTGACGCTGCCGTTGTTCTTCCATTGAAACGCGCAATGCCTATATATATAGGATGAAGATGGTAAATAAAACAAAGAGTGGGAGTTTTATTAAGAAGCACAATTGCAAAATAACAAACCAATGCCAATTCTGGATCTTCATTTGGATCAACACCAAACTCATAAGCAGATCCTCCCATGCCTGTGCCACCCATTCCATCTTCTCCTTGAATTATAGGAGAAGAAATCAATGCATCAGACAAATGTGGCCCAGGTGGAACTGTGACCAAATGGCTCCCTGTTCCATCCTTTCCATTCAGAGCATTGATGAAAGCTGTCAGCACTTCATTATTAATGCTTTCTTCACCAAAACTAATCACATCCACATTAACTTTTTCCTTTTTTAATCTTTTTGCTAATTTCACAAGTTCTTTCTCATCAATTTCTATGGGACTACCAATGAAGGCCACAATACGCATTTTATGATTTTTACCTTGACGATGTTTCAGTGCCAACTGTTGATTTATTTTTGTTCACAGACATTATAATTATAAACTTTGTATAACACAACATAAGGATAATAAATATACTCACATGTGCAATTCGGATTCCTGTTATTAGACATAGATTACCATTTGGTTGGACTTGATGGAGTTTTGATAAAATCCTGCCCACATCGCTAGTAAGTGTAGCTAACACTTCAACACTGTTTAGAAGAATAAAGTTTAAATGAAAAAATAACAAATATTTTCTACCACTGGTATATAGGATATGATTTAACATACTTAGCTAGTGTTATCAAGCCAACATTGTTTTCAGGATTCGAGCGCGTTTTTGAATGACAAACCAAATTAACGGCATCCTGTTGTGCTTGCAGTCGTGTCGGTAAAAAATCTCCATTTCTCATATAATCGCTGTTGTCGACACTATAAGTATTCCAAAATGTGTGAACGAAACGATAAACGTTTCGTGAACAGATTTAAAGGAAACTATTTTATCTTAGTCACATAACCTGTACAAGATTGATTTATACAAATCGAAATATTTATATCGCAATTTACTTATCGCTCATCATATTTGTAATTGCAAATATCTCATTTGCAATTAAATTTAAAATTAAATTTTACTTTCGCTAGATTTAATTCAAGAAGGAAAAGTTAATCGTGAATATACTATGAAGTATTTCAACTTTGCACTGTCACTCATCCTATCGTTTACAAATTGCCAAAATAGTTGCCGTTAGAAGGCGTAGAAATATAATGATATGAAATTCAATGAAAATTAAGAAGATAAATTAAGAACGCAAAAAATATAATGCCTCTTGCAAGCTTACAACGAATAAATATTAAAAGCTTACCATATCATCGTACTTTCCAGTACCATCTTGGTTCCAATTACTAAAACGTTTCATTCCATTTCGTTCCGCTCTGTCATATTTACAGATAATTTTCTGTCTCGACCCATTTCATTCCGTTCCGTTCCGTTTCGTTTTACCTTTTTGATTTACTTGATTGTATGTTTTACGAAAAGTTTCAGATATTAATGTATTCAAAATAAATATAGTTAATCAATAATCATTGGCTGAAATGGAGAAAAATGATATTATGGGAAGGAGGAAAAAATAATATTGCGTGTACATATTAAAAATTATGTCGTACATACATATATATATGTATGTATGTATGTATGCATGTATGTATGTATGTATATATATAGTTTTCAATTAAATACAAATTACAAGATAAAATCATTTGTTTACGCTTAGATTAAAGACTTTTACCGCCTTTTGAGGCAATAAAATAAAACGGATAATGAAAAATCCTGAAGATGAAAAACATAGAAATGGAGAACGGACTTGATGGAAAATATAATATACACTTCCGCTCAAAGGTCTTAAGACATATATTTATATATTTTTAATAAAACTTCAGTATTTAGTGTAGGTTGTGTGGATTTTTAAAGCTTGTTAATACAGTAACACTTTACGCATAAATTACTTTCTTTGTCCTATAAACTATACGTTTAAATTATTTCTTTATATCTTTTAACGATTATTTAATATTTTTTAATTTTAAAGTAAATATAACTGTCCTGAAACTTTCGAGCGGAGATGCATCAAAAGCGAATTAAAAAAGAAGAAAATGAAACAACGAATATAAGGAATTAAGGAGAAAGGGAATCGATGGTTGCGTCCAGTTGGAGTGTGGAGTATCTCGGTGTTTCATCCATTAGTGTTGCTTCTTCGTAAGTTGGTGGTTGATCATTATAACACCTTGATTTTAACATCTGTCTGTTTCGCCTTCTATTATTAAAAGTACGAATAATAACTATAAGCGGTCCTATAAGTAACATAACAACGCCGATCACAAGCATGGTTATAGCAATAGCCGTCCCGACTCGATTTACCGGGCGGCGTCGCGATTTTGTTTCATTCTTGTTGTTTCCTATACTTTCGTCGGATATTTTATTATATTCATGCTCGAAGAAATTTCTTTCAGTCAATTTGATCAAATTAGTCGTATCAAAGTCTTTCGATTCAAACGAGGCGCTTGGCGTACTATTATTTATTACAGTGTCTTCTGTCTCGTAAGGATTTTTATTGGAAGTAAGTGGTAAAATAACGTTCACTTTGTGATTTACTTTCTCTACTTCATTTCTGTTGTTTGAATAAATAGTCGAAGTTTGAGTCGAATGTACGTCTTTAGCATCTTGTTTTCGATGAATCGTCGTACGTCTTTTGATTGTTGATATCGTTCTAGATATTCCGTTGCCGATACTATCCGTTTTATCGGAAGCAAATAATTCGCGGGGCCACTGTTCACCTGATGTAGTATCGCCAGAATGATCAACAGCGATGTCTTCCCGTTGAGTTCCGGTTTGAAATTTTATAATTTTCAAACGATTTTCTGCGACATTCGATTCTCGAAACAATTCACCTTCGTTCCATCTCGAGAATTTTTCCTGTGAAAATAGTATCCTCGAATGTTTCCTCAATTTTCTTATTTAAAAATATGTACAAAATCTCAAGAAATGTGAATGATATGTGTATACTAATGTAATTAGATATTAAAACGTGTACATCTTTTTATATATAGTTCGATAATTTTCTATCATTGGAAATACGATTGATTATCATTCAAGTATTAACTAAAAATCAATTTTAACTAAATATTAACTAAAAATGCTATTAAGTATTTACTTCAATTAAAAAAGATAATTGCGTGTTTATTTTTAAAAGTAATATTTATCAAAACATTAATAATCAAATTATTTGGCGTAAAATATAGCATTGCATATTTTTATAATCGATTAGAATATCGAACCTGCATGTTAATTGTATCATTTCGTGCTTTCGTCTTTTCACATAGCGAAATTACACCTTTTTGTAGAAATATGAATCCAATTATACTCCAGATAGTCAGCTGAAAGATGATTGTCAATTTTGTAGCCCATTTATTCATTTCTATATTTGAAGGCATCTTTAAAAAAAATGTCTTCCATAGATATCGTATGGCCCGCTTGCGCCTGAATCATTAAATAAAAAGTCAATAAGGTGACACGTACCATTATAAAAGAAAATAATAAAATTATCTCACTATTGTTAACTTTTTATAATATGAACTTCACATTTTTTCATGATTTAAATAAAGGTAACTTATATTTGGTGTTTATAAGTTACTAAATGTTTAGATCCTGAAGGTGAAATGTGAAGATCCTAAGATGTCTTCAAGAGAGAAATAAAATTTTTAATATATTTCTAATCGTATCGTTGCCAACATTTAGAATGATTCAATGAATAATAAATAAACGATTTTTAAATAATAATCGAATAAAAGTTTCATTAATACTGCAAATAAATTAAAAAGTCCTACTTAAATGGCGGGTGAAGTTATTTTAGTACCGTTATACAGAGTCGTTAATATATCCAACAAATATGGCAACACATAGTAGATAATTTAGTTATAAATACGTAATGAAAAGAAAAGAACAGCTGTATTGATAAGATTTAATTTTGTTGTAGTTCTATGTTATTAATAGAAAAATTGACTAATAAGAATGTTTTTCACCATTCTCCCTCTATTACGGTGCGCATATTCGTTGTTGGTTTGTTGGACGTGATCAGTCCGATAGCTTTTTTTTTACCTTTACGTATCGCGTTTCTTCTCCTATAACGCACTGTATTAAAACGCTGTTGATAAAAGTTGATCGGCACGAATACATTACGATGGATTCCTTATATATCCGTGTCGATTTATACCGATCGATCATAACTGTGGCTGCACACTCGTTTAATTGCTTGCTCTAGCCATCCTTAAGATCGGCTAATCGTTCGATCAATTTGTCATCAAAGAGCAATGCATTCGTCATACGCTATGCCACAGACAAGGTATAGGATAGACCTATCACTTTACAAGACTTTGTGTCCCGTACTGAAGTACCGATCGTGCAAAAAATCAGAGCTTTTCTTGTGCCCTCTATGATTGAAAGCGTTGAGTTCTGGAATTACATAACTTGTATATGTATTCATTGTTAGCAATTGTCATTGTTAGCTATCAACTTTTGCAAAGTCAACAAATTAAAAGGATTTTGTATAACAATATGGTTCTGGTATCAAAATATACATATTTATAAAAAAAGCGAAGTAAAATGAAAAATCATTAAGAAATTATTTAGAACTTTGAAATAATTACTATTTCATTCAGAATTTTAGATTACATCCAAAAATCGGAATATTTAACATTATAATTAAATTCCTGGTTTTTATACATTTGTACACATTTTCTCAAGTTTTCTATCTTATTCTAAATTCCTTCATAAAATTTTAAATTTGAACATTATTGTGACTTGTAAAATTTCACTATAATAATATTAGTTTAATCGTACAAGATGACCGTGAGATTTCGTAATTTGTTTATCGTGGAAATTTATATGTTATTGAAAGTTTGATTAGATGCTTGGCTCTGAGTGAAAGGGAAATTATTCATTAAATTCGAAATTGATAAGCGAAACTGCAGCACATCATTCTGCTGTCCAAATTCGTAGGTAAATATCATATAACACTATGATGCAATATATACGAAATGGTATATTGCCATAAAGTGTTAATTTATAATTGTGCATACACTATCTTTTAAAAGTATACAAACACTTGCTTATTTTTGATAAGATGTATTTTAATTGCAGCGTAAATCTTTATAAGTATGTATAATATGTACGTATAGTATTATATGTATATATTATATGATGTGATTAAATCTCTTTGGAAACCAGTATGTAATAGTAAAGCGAGTGTTTTTAATTAATTGAATCTTCTAGAGGTACTTTGTTATCTGACAAACTATTTATTTTCAGATTTTCAAATTTATAAAAATTATGAGTTATCTAAACAAATTTTTCTAATAGAAAAATATATAGAAAATGCAAAAGTAAAGGATCTATGCTTTAGCAATATCCGGTCATAATTTTATATATATTTTAAAACTATTATAGCTGATTATGGTTATTGATAATGCAAAATTCGCTCCATCCAGTAATAAAGTGACGCCATCTATGTAATATAGGTAGCATATAAGGTTATCTGTCGAAAGAAATTCTGAAACTTATTATTTTCATCATTCATTATTTTTATTTAATATAACTGCTTATTCTATTGGATATTTTCACCTGCCTCAAACTACGAAATCGTGACAATGTTGTGAAACAGCTTTTATGGCAATTTCAAGCTATAAAATAGGTGAATTTTTTAGGTAAGCAATAAAATAATCAAGTATAAAAACAAATCCTCTGCTGTTTTGTAACTATAAACGTATATATATGTATATACATATAAAATGCGAGACAGTGGGGAATTTAGACTCGTAACTCGTCGAAAGAAACGTGTATCTCGTGTTCGAAATATATACCATACGAGCACAATTTTAACCACTAACGATGACGATGATGGAAATCTGAACATTAATTACGAAACACTGTTTGGGTAAGGATCTTTTACATACTCGTTCCTCGAAGGTGTGTATACAAACTTTTTTAATAACAATTCTATAATAATTTTCAGAAAGCTACTAGAGGCCGAAGTTGAACTAAAAAATTCATCGTTTGCTGACAATGTTTTTCATTATTTAAAAGATTCTTTAACTGCTTTAAATAGCAGTGGCATTTGTGATATATTGTGCTATGGTTTGGGTCATTTTTCTACTCATAGATCCTCTAAATATCAATTGGCATTACTCTTATCTTTAAAAAAACATTATAATCCTCAAATTTATGTATATGACCCAGTTTTTTCTTCTGACGAAATCAAGTTTCTGAAACAGCTTGATTTTAATGTTATAACAATTAATGAAGAATGCAAACGCATTATAGGTGATAATGTTACATTGGTATATATGCCACACTGTTCAGTACATTTAATCAACAATTTCCTTTACGCAAATTGGTGTAAAAACTTAAATAAGTGCATTCTCTTGACAAATAGTTTTTCAATAGTTGCTGATGACTTGAGAGAAAAAAATAAGTCCAGTCCTATTGATTATGTCTTTCGTATTCGACCATACGTTACAGAAATTACTTTACGAAATGATTTCGTATATGAAGAAGTATTCAATGACTTAAGTATTCATACATTTCTTGAACAAAATATTAATGCAATTCCTGAGAGTTTTTGGAGTACACGAGAAAAGCCTTGCTATCAAGATATAGATATTGATTATTTGACTGCTAAGCAAACTAAGGAAATAGATGCTAAGAATTGTAATTACATCTTTTAAATGTATTATTAAGTAACTCTGGTATTTTTTAATATTACTAATTTAAGTTATTGAGATATATATGCATATCTGCGTGTACATTGATATATCATGTGCAAAGCAATTTAAGTAGTAAAGTAATTATTACATTTATTTCATAAGATTTTATAAAATTGTATAAATTAATATCATTATGATGCAAGAAAAAATTAAAAGTAAATTAAACAGATTAAAAATTTAAAACATATTAATGTTTGTTAACAAATAACTTTTTCTGTCTGTTATAGGCAACAAGCAAGATGAAATCTAATATCAAGTTGCTTCACACACTTATACAAGAAATTCGACGAACATCATCTCAACAAAAATCAGAAAATAATATTATGACGCAATACATTTTGGAGCAAGCACGATCCCATCGAGAAACGTCTGAAGTTTTGTGCAAAGCACGAGAAGAGCTAAAAAATTTAGCAGAAACATATCTTTGTTATCTAAACTCTCAACGAGTATGTAAAGAAATTCAAATCCGATATGCTGGTAAAGGAGAACGAAGTATCAAAGAAACCGCAGATCTCGTTGGATTTAAATTACCTCATGATCCGAAATGAATTCAATGGGAGTTAGTTTTAATTAAAATAATATAAATTTATCAATAAAATATTTATTATCATTAATGGAATATAAAAGAACATAATTGTAAAAAATATCTATTATAATTATAAAAAATACAGTATAAAATTTTGATTTAAAGGACGAGTATAACTACATATTTTCACGAATATTGTTGACGAATGCATTTGGCTATGGTTGACAATTGCATATTGCTAGTGCCTTCGTAAATAGTCCCAATTTTCGAATCTCTAAAATATTTTTCTTGAGGAAAATCCGTTGTGAATCCTACTCCACCCATAAAGTCGATGCATTTTGCGGTAACCCGTAAAGCCGTTTCTGGATTGAAAAAAAAATATATAATAAATTTTGCGGTCAATATTTTAATATTTTACGATTGCCGTTAAAAAAGTAGAAAGAGAATATTAATTACCGGAAGCAACCAGTTTTGCCATGGCAGCCTCTTTTATTACATCTTTTTTGGCATCGACTAATCTGGCCGCATTGTAAACCAGTAACCTGGCACATTCAAGTTCAGTGGCCACTTGAGCAATTTGATGTTGCATAGACTACACACAAAAATTATACAATCTGAGTCTTAGTTTTGATATTCATTATATTTGAAATAATTTATCTATCTTATACTTGAAATGAGAATATGTCTTTTCCAAATTGTTTCCTCTCTAATGTATATGGTATGGTAGCATCGAAGCAGCCTTGTGCTATACCAATCATTTGAGCTCCAATACCAATTCGTCCTTCATTTAAAAATTTTGCAGCGTATTTGTACCCTTGCCCAAGTTCTCCTAAGATATTTTCCTCAGGAACCTTAATTCAGGAGAGAATCAAACATTAAAAAAATAAGCATCTACGAGCAATATTCGAACCATTTTTACATTCAAAAAATCATTTCATTTACTCTGACGTTGTCGAAGTGAATCATACATGTACCCGATGCTTTAATTCCTAGCTTATCTTCAGGTTTTGCGACTGTTAATCCAGGTGTATCTCGTTCTACAAGAAATGTTGTAATGCCACGGTATCCCTATTTAAAAGATTTTTTATTATTACCTGATAATATTGCTTATTTCCTTAAAATTATAATTTAATTAAATCGCATTTTAAAAAATAAGTGATTGCTATAGAAAATTCTATAATAAAGTCGTAAAATTAGTCAGAGATCAAAGTTGAAAGTTCAAGCGTTTGGACGAATGCATTTGACAAAAATCTGAGAAGATAAAGATAGCATGAAGTATACCATAGTCTGATTCAATCTATTAAAAACTGGTAAACAACGTTAAATACTATATGCAATTTTATTAAGTATCAATCAAAACGATAATTCTTATTGCAGGATCAAACAATACGAGTCGAGTCCGTATCGCTTCTTTTCTTCTATTTTTTCTTCTTCTGTGTTCAGGATTCTAAATTACAAACATAATTTAATAGAATAAGAATATTAAACTTACGGCAGAAGGATTTGCATTTGCGAAAACAAGGAACAAACCCGCAATATCGGAATTTGAAATCCACATTTTTGTTCCGTTTATAACATAATCAGATCCATCCTTTTTTGCTTCGGTTTTCAAAGAAAAGGCATCTGATCCTGAACCAGGCTCCGTAAGACAAAAACTTCCCGGCTAGAAAATGATGTAAACATTAAAAGTAAACAGTAAAAGATAAGAAACATTTTTGTTCTTTGAAATTATTTATAAGATGCTATCAGTTTATTGCGCTTTGTTATTTAACTACTTTATTTATTTCGTTTACTTACGTGTTCTTGTACTAATCTCGGCAGATATTTTGCTTTCTGTTCTTCCGTGCCGACTTTCACAACTAATGAGTTCACTAAAGTATTGTGAATATCAACCAGAGCTGCCACAGCTCCACAAACTTTGCCAACTTCTTCAACGGTTAAAACCGTTGTCATGAAATTACACCCAGAACCACTGTATTTCTCCGGTACTTCGATGCCCATTAACTATCAATAGATTGATTAAATGTGTGTTATATTATGTGTTAATAAAAAAATGCGAATAAAAAGTTTGATAGCATAAATGTCTCGGATTAATTATTAATTGATAGTAGTTGATTCGAAAATTAATATATATATATATTATACTAATTTATATATATATATATATATATATATATATATATATATATTAATTCACTACAGAGATAGATAAAAAACTTACACCATTTTCGAAAAGTGTTCGTACTACAGCATCGTCTATTTTTCCCTCCTTTTCCATCTTTCGCACAAGCGGAGCAATTTCCTCTTTAGCCAATTTAGCAACTAAGAAATTTTGCAAAAATTATATTTCGTACGTAGATATTTAAGAAGCATAGTTTGTGACAATTAATCAAGTAAAAGATAAAGAAGCATATGGTATCTATGATTATACGAGTCTAGTTAATCTATGAAATGCGCAGAATATTCGATAATAACAATAATCTTACCACTTTCTTTCATTAGAAGTTCTTCTTCTGTAAGTTGAGTTAAAGGACCAGGACAGTGATGTAATTGTGTTATACAAGTGGACAGATGCCTATTGTTATACATTTTTCGTGATATCTGAAAATTGTTTTCATCGAACCTGTTTTAATTTTGAATATGTATATATATCACGATACGAATATTTGAAATTACGTATTCAGACTACTATAAAGTATATCCCTTTAAAAAAAAGGTGTTTGATTATAATAAATGAAAATATCGATTCGAGAATTTGATTTGTAACATTAAAATCTATAGTGTTCTAAAAAATGTAAAATATAGCGAAATAAGAAAGCATTAGGAATATCAACAAATGAAAATTGTATTATTATAAAAAACGAAGAATACAAGAAGAATTGTACGATAATAATTACGCTGCGCAGTTTAAACAAATAAAAATTTTTAATAATATATTGGAATAGAATAGACAAGTTCTCATTAAATCAGTAACAGATTTTTTTTCTTTAAAAATTCTATTAAATTTTAAATTTCTACATGCCACGTCATCGAAATTACTTCTTTCCCTCGTTCTATATTGAAATTATTAAAATTGCTAGTTAAAAATTACATAGTCATTATTAGGAATGCACGATAGATGCACAAATCTCTGAGAAACATACACGTATATACATACCTGTTTAATTGAAGATGTGAATAGATTCATATTTGGTTTAATACTTATTTTACAAAACTCTAAAACACTTTTTAATAACAATTTAATTTCGATGGTATTCGCGAAAATTCCAGCCGGACACTGCGTATATGCGACGTATCACTGTCTTATAAAATTTAATAATTCAAATGAAAGAAAAGGAACGTAAATCAGTATGTTGTTGATCGGACAGCAGATGAAAGACTGTATCATTGACTCGATTGTAACACTGTGCCTACGTATCTGCTACCACTTGTTCTTATATACAATACATAAACATGTTCCAAACAGGTTCTTATGTAACAGGAATAATAGGAAGAAATCCTTGTCCATTTTATCCAAATTTATGTTGAGTTTATCCAAAGAAATTTCAAAGGCATGACAATTACTACTTATATAGTTATGTTTCCTAAATCGAGGTTAGATACATTATTATCTTCCTATGCTTTTGTGTAGAATATAAAACTGCGTAAAACACATACATATTATATACGAAACGTCCTAGTTGTTTGCTGTCACACATTGCTAGTACATTCTAAGGCTAAGTTAAGATAAGAAAAAGGTGTCACATAATGTACAGCATTGGAAACATAGATAAGAAGTTACAACAAAAAAGAACAACATACAAAATGAGCTGTAACGAATGTACGTTACTTCGGTACAAGGAATAAATAAATCAAAGATATTTACATCTAGTAATAGTCAGAAGATCTCATAAAATTTTTACAACTTATTGTTCATCATTCCTGTTAAGTAAAAGATTGCAATAATTGAATTTATTACTCATCCGAAGATATTGTTTATTACTCGTCGGAGTTATATAAAATGTATTAAAATCGCTTAACATAAGACTTTTATATTATATATTGATGTTTTCATACCTTTTTAATATCACATGCGAAGATGTTTGAAAATTTAATATGAAATTGAACCTAAAAAATAAAGATAATATGGAAAGAAAGATGGGAATCATATATGAAAATACTAAATTTCTGTTTAACTATAATTCTCGTTAAATCGAGATATGGAATCTTATTTATGAAGTTTATCGATGTACTTTAACCTTCTAACCCACGAAGAATGTTATTCAGTTTATAGTCGAATTAGATATGTAGACTCTTTTATATGATTCGACAGGGTACTCTACAAATCTCACAAAAAAATTTAATAAAAAATGTCACTTGCAATTAGTTTAATTGTTAATTAGCTAGATCTATTTCTTTTTAAAACAACCAACAAGCTCCAAACTTTTCGTAATCGTTGGTAAGCTTGTTTGTCTGTTTAAAATGATCAGTTCGTTGATCTTCACACAACATAGGAAATCAGCAAGAATATCGCTTATACAGAATGTTCCAGTCATCGTGGTACACAATCAACAAGGGAATAGTTCTACGTGAAAAAGTATGTAAATCAAAAAAATATAATATTAAAATTTCTTTAATATTGAAGTTATGAAATAAAATTAAGTATGCAATGCTTGCTTAAATGGACCGTTTCTGATTCGCTACAAAAAAAGATACAGTAAGCAACAAGAGATCTAGCTTCTATAACATTTGTTAATAACATTTTGTTAAATATTTTTCTTTAAAAAAGCTATGCAATTATATCATCGATTAAATAGTGTTCCTTGTCAGTATTATTTAGCCCGCCGTTTGGCGAACATAAGCGCTCGAGCGATGCTCAGACCAGTTACGGCCAGTGACACTTGACTATCATTCTGAGTGGGGAGTAATACTATAGACTCGTGTAGCGTAAACTATAAACTGACTATATGTATAATATAGTACCTTTAAAGGCATGCGATCCGTTCTACGGTACTACTACATTGCCCGTTATATTACTACGAAACCCGGTTTGCTGCCCGCCGATTTGTTTATGCTCGGACCGCTTTAATCCAGCTATTCTATGTTAATGATCGATAATTCAAATATTACGAATAATATTAACATATTAAACATTCATTGATAAAATTAATTTCATTTTATTTTATTGTAGCTACTTTAAATTAATAACTTATTAGTAGCAGTAAGTATATTCTTTGTAAAGCGCATTGTTTAACATTTTCAAAGCATGCAATCCAAATCGAACGATGTATATCAAAGGTGTACACACACACATATATATATATATATATATATATATATATATATTTGCATTGATAGAATATGAGGAAAGAGAAATGAATCGAATACATAAGTGAATGGATAAACACATGTATATATGAGAAGTATATATTACATTAAAATTAAGATGTAAAACGATATATTATTCAATATAACTATTGCTATATAGAATTATGTAGGGAAGGAAATATTAAGATTAACTAGTAATGATAATATTTCAATCTGCATTGTCAATTTATTAATAAATGACAAAGATTCTACTTTTTATTGTTTAAAGTACTTTATATTGCCGCATAAAAAAATATTATCGATTAATCGTAACATATCGACTTTCGATGATTTTTGGTACATACGTATTGTACGTAATATTTCATTGGTTGTACAAAACTCGAACGTTTTGATTGGACGATAACTTGAAAGGTAGCCAATCAGACGATATATTTTCGAGAAGCGATTTCTCATTGGGTCGCTTTCAGATTAGTTGCGCAGCAGTATTGTGCGCACGATCCGCGTGCCCATTGTACAATTAGTTGGAGGAAAAAAGCAAGAATGCGGAGCAGTGTACAGACGAAGACGAAATATTCACACTTGATAACCAAGTTTTAATACATCATTTAGGAGAATCGACCTCTGTACACAGTCGAAAGGGGGCCAAGTATGAGTATTCTGACTGACATAAATACATGTTATATAATATAAATAAATTATAAAAGCATAGGTTAAAAGGTAGAGCTGGTTGGAAAAGTAAATACAGAAAGAGAAAAGGAGATATAAAGCTCGAAGTGGTTGTAACGAAAGTGGTGAACAGAAGATAGAGGTAGAAGTGGAAGTGGAAGTGGTGGTGGTAGGAATAGTAGTGGTGGTAGTAGGAGCGAAGTTACTAGGAGGTGGAGGAGGAGGCTTGGGGAAGGTTTGCCAGCCGCCGGAAGAGCATCGACGGCGACGGGGGCGGGGAAGCTGTCCACCGAACGGAACGACCGCTCGGTGATACGAACAGCGAGTCGAACGGTTCCCCAAACGAATACGGATATATCGATCATTGACGATAGTTGCCGATTTTGAGCTAGGTAAGTCACTACTTCACTAACTAATAGCAAAAAATACCACTGTAAATACGAATCACTTGGAAAGTTCCAACACTCTGTACGAGAGAACGTGGTTCGAAATAATTGACAAGAATGACGTAGCGTAAGGGGTGTGTCATACCGTGCCGAGTTGGTGTAGTGTCGAGTCGAGTCGAGTCGATTGAGCGACAATGTTGAATGGCTTTGTGTGCATGTGTGGATGCATTTTTCGAATATATTTTATAATTTCGCCTGTCGTGTTTCTTCTCATCACTTATAGTATATTGAAGAAAGGTACGTAGATAATTACTGTCAAGATACTCGCTGTCATAATTGCGCCATTGAAACCCATTACTCACCATTGCTGTATCGCCATTTGCATTGTTATACCATTGACCTTCTTTTATTTCTATATTCATGTTAAACATACAGTTCTAATGAAAAATTTAATCTTAAACGCGATTGCAATTTGCTACTACATTCTTTCACTTAACATAATGTTTCACAGCATTGCGTAAACTATGACCGGCGGGAACCATTCATTTGAAACTAAAAACTATATTCATTGCAGGTTTTTATTTCATGAATTTAAAAGTTGATATTATTTTAGTGTTCTATATGGATGTTGTCTGTACAGTGATAAATAAGTGTGTCATTATTTGAACAGCAGGCGAGACTCAGTTTCCTTTCGTTATTCTCTACGTGTATTTAATCAATTGGTTACACTGCTCCGCCTAGTAGTGTCAGGACAAAAAAGCTCGACAAGGTGTAACCAGTGTACAAGTTGATTCTCTTTTATACTATTAAATTTACTTCTGAATGTCGCGGGCACGCACGGTTGTGTACACGAAATTGCTCGCATTTGTTTGTAGAGGATTAAATTGACATACATGTAGTGGTCATTTGGGCGTATTCACACGAATAACCGTACGCTGAGTTCGTCTCAACGTCCTTATGATCGAATTCGTAAATGGTGGGAAAATAACAATGCAACGCGGATATTCTCGTGTAGGCAAGTGTCTTAAACAAAAATCTTAAATCATCACCAATTTTACCGTGAAAAGTATTATTTAACACGTAGGTCCAATAGGTTGCTACATAATCGTTGACGTCTTTTTTTTTTGTTACAAACTCCAGACCGCCCGCGCGCAATCTATCGTCGCTTGGAAATAAACTTGCTACTCTCGAGTTTCGATTCTATAGTAGGCACGCTCACCTGTGCGTTTGCTAGTGTGTTGATTTATCTCTTCGTCATTTTTCAACTTTTGATTGATTTAAATGCATTTCACTTGAATTTACCTGTAATTATAATTTGCTGTTCCTTTGAATCTTATTACATATTTTTGAACAGTATTACTATTCGAAATATTATTTCATTGAAAATAATGTTATTATTAATAATGGAAAACGAATTTAAGTAAAACGTAAATAATAACAAATGATTCGTTATTTCGTTAAAAGATCTGTTCTACGAATGTACTATATTGACGTAGACTACAACGATCGTGCCTTTCATTATGCCCGGGCAAACGTAGTATCGCCCAACGAGCACCGATAGTAAGCTTTACGTTTTAAGTTATGACATCATCGCGTCGAGAAACAGCGGACGCGTCGCATTAAGTATCTCGCGCGCAATACGCGCATTCAGTTCACTATCTCGATAGTTCAATACATTATCTACGTTTTTCATCCTAATTGGCTGCTTTCCACGAAATACTAACAGGTCTCGTAACTTGTTTGACCAGTTTTTATATTTTTCTCAAAAAACACATATTTAAACAGACGTATAAATTTAATAATTATTCTTATGAAATATACGAGAAAGCGAAAAATTGATATCGTCATGATACAGATAAATGTTAGCAAGGTAATGTCGATTAACCGTGAATGGCTAGAATTCAATTGGCGTTCGTTGACGAACGTTAATTGAAGGAATGACATTACTTGGTCATAATGAGTTATGTACGCACGTAAGATAAAGAAGCTGTTTAAAATAAGAAATCTTTTTAGGTTTTTTCTTTCCGCTAATTAAATATTCAGATAAAATAATATAAAATA